TATCTGGTACCAGACCCTTACAAACTTTTTACGCAACCTCGGCTTCGAGCCAATCACAGCAGATCTTGGAATCTTCGTGCGGAGCAATATGTACATCGCGGTGTACGTCGATGACCTCCTCATTGTGGGACCAAGCATTGCAGAGATAAAGAGGATCAAGCGGAGCCTGAGAAATCGCTTTCAAATGACAGACCTGGGGCCGTGCAGCTACTACCTTGGGATGTCCATCCAGCGAGACCGTCAGAACAGGATACTGTACCTCAGTCAAGAAGCATATATTGACAAGGTCGCTCATCAGTTTGGAGTCAGCGATGGCGCCCCCGTCAGTACACCAATAGAGACTTCACCCCTCCCAGAGTGTAGTCCAGACTACCGATGCCCTCCAGATCAAAGAATCTCCTACCAACGCATTGTCGGGTCTTTGATGTACATTATGCTTGGAACCAGAGGAGACATTGCGTATGCAGTGTCTGTGGCGAGTAGATTCCTGGCAAATCCTGGGCCGCAGCATATGAAGCTCGCCCGACGCGTCCTGCGGTACCTCAAAGGAACAAGAGGCCTCAGGCTCACGTACAAAGGTCAGCCCCAGATGCTGAAAGGCTTTACAGACGCAGACTGGGGTGGATGTCGTGACACCAGACGATCAACAGCTGGATATCTCTTCAATGTCGGGAGTGGTGCAATCAGTTGGCAGTCGAAACGCCAAAGCGTCGTTGCCCTCTCAACCTGTGAAGCTGAGTTCCTGGGCCAGACACAAGCAAGCAAAGAAGCAATCTGGCTAAGAAGACTTCTAAATGAGTTAAACATGAGCCAAGGAAAAACCGCAACAATCATTTGTGGTGACAACCAAGGAGCCATCGCCCTTTCGTCGAACCCACAATACCATTCCCGCACGAAGCATATGGAAATCCAACGCAAGTGGCAAGGAGAAGTTCAAGACCTTGGAACAGTGGAGCTGCAATACATCCAAACTACAGAACAAATTGCAGATGGGCTCACCAAGCCTCTTGCACGAGGACGATTTGAGTGGTTTCGGAGAGGGCTTGGCATTGAGTGACGCCTCTCTCGGCCCACGGGTTTCGAGCAGAGACTAATCGCAGGGGTACCCTTTCCTTCTTTTCCCTTTGAAGGTTTTTTGAAGGTTTTTTGAAGGTTTTAACGGGACCTTGCACCACCGTGTTGGATGGTCACTGGCATCCTTGATAGCGGTTGCCATCGAGTGGGAGTGTTGAGTATCACGGTGGTCAAAGCATGTAGTGGGGATCATCAAGAGACAGATAAATAGATGAGGAGCCCCACTTCCAACAAGATAGACAACTTAACCAATACAACATACCTATCTCAACACGAATAAAGGCCTTATTCATATTCGCATTCATATTATTCATATTGTGAAATTTCTCCGCATCAATACTTTGTCCGGTATAGCGGTTATCGTGTTACCGAAATGCGCTTAGAGGTCGATTTCACAATGCCATCACTTCATCAGCAACGCTGGACTGTGAATCTCCGTGGCCAGTATATTTTGAAAGGAACAACAAGCTTATGTAGATTTTAATTGGTTTGATCTGCCGTGGCTGATCTTTGTAAGATATGATACTCATCTGCAAGTGTCTGCCCATAGAGACTTGACAGCGGCCACGAAGGTCCGTGAAGATTATATATATCTCACAGCCCAATTTCGAATCAACCTGGGCAATGAAATGAATAGATCTACTCACTTCCCTGATTCTAGTTCAATGCATTCCAAATTTCGTCCATAAAGTGGCCCTGAAAAGTGGCACGTAAAAACGCGTTTGCCTCGCCATCCAGAGCCTTGAATGACCCTGGATGCATTTTGTTTACGTTCAAAACCAGCGATATCGCGTTGCAGAAAACAGAAAAGAGACCTATCAACTTCCCACGTCAAGGAGGGCATATAAAGCGCGAATATGAAGGGGCTTGTCAACAATCATCCTTTCCTCAAGCCCCCCTATCAGTTTCTAACCCCAGCCCAGATAACTCAAGGTATGTTATGCATCACCGCCGATACCACTTTCATATACTGACATCGGGAAATAGTAGCATGGCATCTACACCCAATCCCTCTATGCGGAGGACGCGCGGTCTTCCACGCCGGGACTATAATGCTCTACACAATGGCCTCGTTTCTTCACCTTCAGAGCAATCTGAGGAATCGCCCTGCGAAAACGGACGCCCTTACTCTCCTGAGCCCTCCCTATCTAGGGAAACTGAAGAGACACCTCAGTCAACGCGGTCTTACTCTTTGCCTAGCTCCTCGCCCTCCCCGTTTGATTCTGCATTTTCGGAGAGCAGGTGCCATGCGAGTAGTCTACACCCGTATAAAAGACGAAAGATCAAGGCGTATTCTAGTTGGACCATTGAGCACTTTTGGACAACAGAACTGGATAGCACCTGGAGTCGGCAGGGCGGTCCACCGAAAAAAAGACCGGCTGCTGATTTGCAAGCATTGCAGCTGGTCCTCCAGAGATTCGGCGCGCTATGGTTCCACTTCGAATTTGTTGGTGCATCTCCAGACCAAGCATCGTATCAAGTCTGGTGCCGAATCTACTTTCTTGCCCGCGGTCGAAGGAAGCCTCGACCGGTTCTTAGAGTCGCCGAGGAAGAAGGCTAGCGTTGAAGAAATGCTAGTCCAATGGGTCATTCAAACAAGACAGCCTTTTACAGTGGTGGAGCATCCGGCTTTTAGGGCACTCATCGAAGCAACAGGGGCTACTTTGCCTATCAAAACCGCTGATACTCTCTTTAACCGAATCAAGGAGGAATTCCGCTCGGGCAGGGCTTTCGTGAAAGATGAACTTGCCAGCAGCAGCCGGACACTCGCATTATCCCTTGACGTGTGGACGTCAGAAAATCATATTGCGATCATGGGTATCATCGGTCATTGGATATCCCCTGAGTTTGAAAAGCGAGAAGAGCTACTCGAGTTCACCGAAATTAACGGACCGCATTCTGGAGAGAACCTAGCGGAAGTTGTGCTAAAGATGCTCGACGAACTAGACCTCGCGCCTAAGCTGCTGACCATCACGGGCGACAATGCAGGCAATAACGGGACGCTCTGCGATAGTCTGCATGACCAGCTCCTCAAGAAATATGATAATGACGATGACCGCTTTCGTATCAGGCCTCTGATGCGGTTCCGTGGACGACAGAGCTTTATTCCTTGCCTTGCCCATGTCCTCAATCTGATTTGCAAAGATGTATTAGCTTCTTTAAAGGCTGGTTCAGCTCGAGAAGCGAAGGCAATACTGGACGACATGGCCGTTCGTACTAGCCCAGCATTCAACTCCCTTCACAGCACGAAAGGAGCAATTATGAAAATCCGATTGCTGACGCTGTGGATCGCCCGTAGCCCACAGCGCCGCCAAGATTGGAAAGAGGTATCACCGAGCAAAAAGGTCAGTTATGACGTTGACACCCGATGGAACTCGACATATCTCATGATTCAAGATGCCCTTCGGCTACAAACTGAACTGGGGCAGTTTGTGCGGATACATCCAGAAGTCCAGGCCCTCCAGCTCAACGATGACGAATGGTCGACACTTCAGCAAGTGGCCAAGATTCTAAAGCCGTTCTGGGACCACACAAACTCGGTTTCAAAGGCATGCCCAACAATTGTGGAAAGCCTACCGATTTACTGGAGCTTGGACGACTTGTTAAATGACGTTCGAAATGCGGAGGGAGATTTTGAAGACGTGAACATTGAAATTCGCGATGCGGTGGAAAGAGGGATTCGGAAGATGAACAAGTTCGCTAGAAAAATGGACGACAATCTTCTTTACTATGTGGCTTCTGTGCTAGATCCGCGCATCAAGTCGTCTTTGATTGTTTCTCAAATGAGCGAGCAGGATTCGGGGCTTATTGTCTCTCAGGTGCGGGAATTCCTAAAAAAAGAATACCCTCAAGAGCCATTCATGTCGCGGGAAGTTGACCATCCACGACCACCGGGGATGTCAGAAACAATGTGGAGGACTTTGCGCAAAGTCCAACCATCCAAAGAGGCCTCTCTGTCGGATATTGATAAGTATTTGGATTCCCCACCGGTCAACTGGTCACACCATATGATCAGTGACGCAGACGCAGAATGGGTTCTGAAGTGGTGGAAGGCTAACGCATTTAATTTCCCACTGATGGCCAAAGCGGCTCGCGATTATCTATCCATTCCTTCCGCAGAGGTTGGGATTGAACGCGAGTTCAGCAACGCTAGAGATGTCTTGGGCCTCCGAAGACACTGTCTAAACGCGGAGACTATGCGGTGGTTGATGTTATTGAAAGGGCAGTATCAGACATGACTTTAGAGGGTGGTGTATGTATGTAAACTCAATGATTGAGAGCTAAAGTCTCGTATGTACATTGTTACAGACCTGAGTATATGAGCTTCGCTGATGTATTGGCATGTAATGAAATGAAAGGTTATGTATAGTATCTTATTATATGAATAAATATGAATTATTCATATATTCATGAATATTGCGAATATGAATAAAGGGCTTATTCATATTCATATTATTCAATTCATATTATTCATATTCACAAATATTCATGAATATTCACGAATAATCATATTCCTTTCGGAGCCCTAGAAGGCGGGGTATAAGGTGGACGATACTCCACTTCCCCGAACTCAGTCTCTCTTAACGGACTTAAATGTGGCTGTCGTCGCCTGCCTGGTATCTGATCTTATCTACACTTGACATTCTACCTGAGTCCAGATATTGCTCTGCCTGTCGCTCAGAGACGTTCAAAATTGTCAATCATGCCACTAAACAGGCGGTGGAGTAAGACGATGAACGTGAGGAAGGAACGCCAAGCGACCCAGTCTGAATTGGCATGTAGTGCATGTCGAAGGCAAGTAGGATGAAAAATCAACAGGACACACTAGAATAACCTGCTTACCGGTTACAGGAAGAAAACGAAATGGTAGGTGGCTAAATAGCTTGCTGATCGCATCAGCCCCATCCGTGATTGCCTGCTAACAAATGAGAGGAAGCGATCGCTCCTTGCCATCCTGTCTCTTATGCACCAAGCTACATCTTATCTGCGTATATCCAACCCTCCGCCTCAAACCTGGCCCGAAAGGTGGTCAGTATCATCGGAATTACACAACTACGAATCGACCGCTGATATTTCCTAGACTCATCCCAACGGTTGCTAGAGGATCTCTCGACAAATGGAGATCGGAAAAGCTCTATCGGGAGGAGCTCTTGGCGGAAAGATCATGTCAGCTACCTCGAGGGCAACGGCTGTGACTTCAGTCTTTGTGATGAGGATTCGCCGAATGAGCACAGTGCAGAGTCTTATGACATTCAATCCAATTCCACCGATGTGGAAAGTAATTTTGTCAAGGCCATCGGTCTTTCTGCTCTAATCCACCCTACGCATGATCTTTGCTTACTTCCGGTGCCCATGAGGCAAGAAACAACATCGTCTGGGTCTCTTTTAAACCTTGCTGGAGCACAGAATCTACTCATGGACGCCTGCATTGCCTTTGATCTGTCACTTGAGGGCTTCCAACACTTGTGAGCATAAATACCCACCAGCTTTCTTGTATAGAACTCAACCTTGAATTTGGGAAACTAACGCTTTCTAGAACGGATATATACTTTGACTCCATGACTGAATTCTCACTGTTTCATCGGCCTTCCTTTGGGAATAAGATCCAGAACATCAAGAATCCCGGCCACCTCCAGGCTTTTTTCGCGTCTATGTTTGCTTATTCTGCCAGTTTTCATATTGATGACGCTGTTGATCTTACGGCCCACATTTGGACTTCGTCATGCACGCCTGATCCAATGCGTTTCCACAACCTAGCATTGAGATTAATTAACACATCCTTGGATGAGTGCTCTGACCAGCCGCCAAGCATTTGCTTGCTTCAAGCCATGATTCTGATCACCTTTTGTGAACTGACAAAAGGCGTCCGTGGCCGAGCGTGGAGGCTCCTAGGCTCATGTGTTCGGGTAGCGTACGAACTTCACCTGCATCTGATCGACTACGAAGCGCGTGACGAATATTACAAGGTAGGTCAGGATCTTTCACGTTGGATTGCGGATGAAGAGCGACGACGATGCTGGTGGGCTATCTGGAAAATGGACAACTTTGCCAGTGTCATTCGGCGATGTCCCACCGCCATCGACTGGAACATGATCGATACCTATCTTCCTGTCTCGGACGAACTTTGGTTTAACAACCAATTCCAACGCAGTTGCTTACTCGAAAGGGAACCGACCACCCGAGCAGAAATATTGAAAAGCTGTGGAAACGAGGGTGCAGATGCATGGTTGATTGTCATCAGCTCCATCATGAGGGATGCGCAAGTACTCCTCAGAGGGAACCTCCGAGGAGTATTGCTAGACGTGGACCCTCATAACGCCTCTGAGCAACTCCTGCACTACTTCCACAATTCCTTTTGCAGAAAAAAGACAGACAAAGACTCGACACGATTGAAAACGTTGATTCGTGCTCTGCGGACTACGATCTCAAGTTTACCGAAATCCCTTGTTTATAATGGAGAATACCTTGACTTTGGCTTCGACTTTTTGAGGGGAGTTCGTGACTCCGAAACCAAAAGACTTCACAGCGCGAAGTACAACATCCATCTCACAATGAACCTAGCGCAATTTATGGTTTACCATCATTATGCTTTTGGTGAAATTGTCTCTGGGGTGATCTTCACGGAGAAGGACACCAAACAAGAAGTCTTACCGCAAGAGGAACGAACATCCGAAAATGCGCTAGGTCTAGAACAGTGTCTTCAGGCCGCTGATTATATTTATATCCTTACTTCTCATTGCCCAGAGGATCATGTTAAATACGTGAACCCTTTTCTTGCTAGCACAGTGTGGCTTTCCGCATCGCTTCAAGTCCTGCGGAAGCTATTCGGGAAGAAAGTAGATCTGGAGGAGACGCTATCAAAATATGCCATTCTACGTGCCACCTGCGAACGATTTACTGCGTTTTGGCATACACCTCTGGCATTGTTAGAAAACCTGGACTCCCTGGAGGCCCGTCTGAGCCCATACTGCAACTTCCCCCCGGGTACCACTGCCCCTCACGAAGCCCCACACGGTTTGAATATGCCCATGCCATTCAGCGTATCTGGAGAGACTCGGGTTCAAAAACCCAGTACTCGGACCAATAGGCCGAAAACATCTCAGCAGGACCTACAGCCATTATTGCCACGAGCCGATGGTGATTTGAATCCTATATCGGAAGTGCGCGTTTCACCTACAGCACAATATCAACGCCGCGACAATGAAAACAGCAGCAATGCCAATCTCACTCCAAATCCACCACTACATGACGATTATAACAATGTTGACCAAAGCCTGTCTAGTGGGCAGAATTTACCAACTAGCGCTTGGAGGGAGGATACGGAGATCCATGGCGGACTAGATAATTGGTTTCCGCAATGCCTTTCGGACATCTTCACTGAAGCATTTGGCAATGAAAGCGTGGAGAATCTTTACCATGGCCCATGACTGATAGGACAAGTTTTGCGCCTAAATGTGATAATCTCTGTATTCAAAATTGGGGTGCTTTTGGTATCAGAAATGCTCACTAGAATTCGTCTTTTTTAAAAAAGATATTCGCCATGTCTTTTCCAACTTTTGAGTTATCCCAGTTGATGAGGTTCCAAGCAGGCGGCTCCAACCAATCTGTGCAGTAGCATGAATGTGAAACTCAAGAACAAGCTTACGGCTAGACTTCGTGGGAATAAAGACAAGACTATAAATAATAGCCCGTCTGTTATGCATTGAAGTTTCACATACCCACCCGTTGTTATTTCGGGATTTGATATACAATAACTCACTCCTCTTAGCTTTCTGGCGGAGACAGCCTTGGAGAATATATATCTGCTTCACTAAAAGTGCGGACAGCTATACAATTTGAATACTATACAACGTGACGTCGCGGTTTATACTTTTGCAAGGGCGCATTGATAACACACTATAAATTTGCACAGCGGGAATGACCTCTTGTACTGTTCTAGTTCCTTAGTGGGAATCATCAAAATAGCTTATAGCGTAGTGTAGGAAAGAGCCGTGGCTGGTGAAAAGATTCAGGACATTTACTGTTTGTGATTTCACACACCACCCTTGAGAGGCAATTCTACTGAAGTTTGAATCCCTTTCCAGGGTCCAATGATGCCGTGAAATCACCCTTCTGGGTCTTCATATCCACGGGAAACGACAGATGCTCATGGATCCATCGCCACTTCCCATCCTCAGGGCTGCGGTGCGCAATCCCAGTCCGCCGAAATGCAGTGTCAAATGGCGTGCCTCCGGCCGTGCCCCAGGTATGCTGGATCATGGTAGAATAAGTACAGTCGCGTGAGAGAGCAGTGATCTCTAGGTCTTTGAATTCCATCTGGCCGTCATTCCAATAAGGGAAGATGGATTCAAAATGTTTATTAAATTCGCCACGGATCGTGTTTCCGAACATGTCGTAGCTGAGCATTTCGGGAAAGTTGTAGAAACGGCGTGCGCCAGCCATGCCGTTGTGGAAGTCCGCTTGAGATTCATGGTTCCAATAGTGCAGCCAACCACGATAGAGCTGATCCAACGCTTCCTTTTCAGCAACAGCAAGATCCGGATTGTGGTACTATACTCAATTTACGTAAGTTATGAGCCCGCCGCGTTGTCATTAGAGAGCGAAAATTGCGGTCGGTATGCACAAACCTTGCTCTTTGGCATCTGAAGGAAGTCATATTGCTTCATAACAGAGCTATAAGATTTCTATTACAGTCAATATGGCACCGCATTTCATGCTTCGGCTGAGTAGAAGACACACATCATCTTTCACAAATCCCTTCTGATCTGTCATTTTGATACAATCAACCATTCGTCAGCGTTGAATTGCTTTTGATTCGAGGTTGGAATATAAGAAGAAATTCAAGCTGTAATGGAGAGAATTGCTGACAATCATGTTGCTAGAACAGGCTATTCACTCCCTTTATGTTGCACAGATGTATGCGGGGCTACAAATTGCCCTCTACAAGTTTGCAAAGGAATCAGGTTTTTGCGAAATAGAGGCATAATAGCGGCGGCGGGATTTTTCTTGATGTTCCGTACTAGGTAGGATCAGTCAGTCCATCTGCCCGGTGCGGTCAATTAGTCCGGCCGTGGGCTCAAACTATGCGGGCAGCTGAAATTTATCCGGCTTAATTTTTCTTTCTCTTTTGTTTGTGATCCGGAACCCAAAGCAATTACATTGAATTAGTTTGTCCGCATGGCCACGTGTCAAGCATCCGGGGTCTTAGGAATTCATCCGCAGGAACTTTTGACAGATATAAGTTGCATCAGCTTGCCTCTCGAGATACATTTGTATACATCAAATACTAGCTCGAACAAAAGTCTTTCATCTTTACAGCTACCTCAGCATCCCGAATTATATACGATTCACCAGCTATTACTATGGGCTTTATCTCAAATCCACCACAATATGACGCCATCATCGTCGGCAGTGGCTTTGGTGGCTTATACACGCTTCACCAAATGCGCAAACAGAACCTCAAATGTCTAGTTATTGACGAGGGTTCGGACATAGGTGGAGTATGGCATTGGAACTGTTATCCTGGTGCTCGGGTTGACACCAAAATCCCTCTGTATGAGTTTTCTGATGAGAATTTGTGGCGAGATTGGGTGTGGACAGAGAAATATCCCGGAGCGGATGAGATTCGCCGGTACTTTGAACACGTCGAATCTAAGCTTCATTTGAAGAGGGACATCCTGTTCTACACTCGTGTAATTGCTGCCAGTTTCGACAACAATCCTAGTCAGTGGACTGTGACGACAAATGATGAACAGAAGCGCACAGCTCGTTATTTCGTTCTCGCAACCGGTTTTGCCGCGAAAGCGCTTATACCCTCTTTCAAGAATTTGGAGACCTTTGCAGGCCCTTGCTTTCACACTTCTCGGTGGCCACAGGAAAGAATAAATTGCAGTGGCAAGCGAGTCGGCATTGTTGGCAACGGATCGAGCGGGCTACAGGTCATACAAGAGCTCGGCCCTGTGGTCGAACATATGACAGTGTTTCAGCGCAGTCCTACTTATGCACTCCCCATGCGACAGCGCCCATTGTCTGTCGAAGAGCAAGACAAGTGTCGATACGAAGCAATTTACGAGCTTCGCAAACATACATTTGCTGGTCTCGATACTGAATTCAGCTTTTTGCCAGCCACTTCTGTGCCTTCCGAACAGCGCCAGGCATTTTTTGAGGAAATCTGGGAGGAAGGCGGCCTGTCATTCTGGCTGGGGACCTACCGTGATGTTATCATGAATAAGGATATCAACAGGGAGGCTTACGAATTTTGGCGGAAGAAAGTCTTGCCTCGCATCAAGGACCCGAAGAATGCCGAGCTGCTAGCACCGGAGGAGCCTCCGTACTATTTCGGCACAAAGAGAGCAACCCTGGAGCAGTGTTACTACGAAGTTTACAATCAAGATAACGTTAAACTTGTTGACGCCAAGAATATACCGATCGTTGATGTGCGGCCGAACGGCGTCCTCACCGCGGACGGGCAATTCCACGAACTCGACGTTCTCATTCTGGCTACTGGATTCGATTCGGTGACAGGCGGTATTCTCAATATCGACATTCGTGGCCGCGATGGTGCTTCCCTGCGGGAAAAATGGAAGAATGGCACCTGGACACATCTCGGACTAATGACATCTGGATTCCCAAATATGTTCTTTCTCTACGGGCCCCAGGGGCCGACTTCCTTCTGCAATGGCCCTACATGCGCCGAAGTTCAGGGTAACTGGATCGTGCAAACTATCAAATATCTTCGATCTCATGGCAATAACGAACTTGAGCCAACTGCGCAAGCCGAGGAAAAGTGGAGAGGGCTCGTCAACCAAATTGGAGATGCTACGTTGCTGCCGGCAACGAAGTCGGAGTACATGGGTACCAATGTTCCTGGAAAGCCGAAGGAGATGCTCAACTACCTAGGAGGCTTGACTGAATACATCAAGAATATCTCAAGCACAATCACTTCGGGGTATTCTGATTTTTCTATCAATTAGTTTGAATATAGTTCCAAGGTTGGTTTCGAGTTCAACACTACTAACATACACGGTTCGCTCAGAGAGCGTTGACAACTTTGTATATCCCGTCTACTATATTGTTCATTGAAGATAACTCTCAAAAGAAAACTTCTGCATATATTTTGTTTATGGCATAAACAATGGTCATTCGACGTTCCAAGTCCATGATGGCAAAAGAGCCACCTCATATGCCCATATGCAGATACATCCTTCTAGAAACCATGAGGCCTAGGGACCTAGAAGACTGAACCTGGGTCCAAAGCATAAATAGATAATAGATAAGCAAAACTACAACAGACTCTGCAACCTACTCCTATAGTTATCTTTTCAATGGTTGTCAGAGATATCACTTCCCATCAACAGTACTATGCCACAAAACAATAGAGCCAATCTGAACTACGGCCCACTTACTGGAAACTCTACCAACTCCACTAATTCCCGCTTTCTAAGATTCAGGCGTATTGACTTTTTCCACGGATCCTGCCAAAAGGCTGTAAGGACAGGCTTTTAGTATAACAAGCTGTTTCGATAAAGATAGGCAAAACCCCTGGGGTGCAACAGAGGTAGAGGAACAATAGATAACATATATAACTAGGCAAAATTTAGCCCAATAATCTTCCAATAGTTGCAAATTTTAGGGAAATAGGTCGGGGCAGAGTTCGATAAATGTACAGTAGCTTACTATTAGTCTATATCACGGGAGGTTTCATTAATTACCATCTTGCACATGAACAATCAAACAAGTCCTTCAATTCGGTTCCCAATAGTTCCAGATCCTCATTACCATAGCTTGGATCATCGACAACGGGAATGAACAATGCATCACTTCCACTCAGAAAATTTGAATCCCAGGTTGGCATTGCTACGGAGTTGAGTGGCAGTTGCTCATGCAGACCGGACAGCGCTTCAGCTGACTGATTCGATGTTGGCACACCAGTCACAGACAACTGTGAAGAGGATGGGAGCGTGTCCATTGATCCAGCAACAGCCTCAAATTCCTTAGGATCTGAGGAATCAGGAATCAGGAATGCTCATGCTGATCAATTTCTGTTTCGACTCCCTCTTATCAGATATATACTGGCGGGCGAGTTGTGCGAACTGGGCGACTAATGAACCGGGCAAAGTACCGTTGCTTGCGACTTCTAGCCGACTGAAATGCTTACTGGCAATATTGAGGAGTGCAAGACTGAGCTCAAGGCAGGCTCACTGAGCAAATCAGGGTGCTTCGATCAGACTCAATGAGTGATCAGTCTGATTACGTAATGATCACTGATCAGCTCAGGCCGGTCAGGGGTGAGCACTAGAATGGAAAGGGAAAGCCAAGAATTGCCAGACATTATCCGGTAGATATGTACCTACCCTGACCCCGGCGAAAGCCTCTGAACCCTGAACTTCAAGTTGGAAGCACTAATGCTGCCTTCCGCATTCAGAGAAGCGTGAGTACTTTCACATGGCAGTGGAAGTGGCATTCTCAACATACTAGTATTCGCTGGGTTCTGACTTAACTCCGAGTCCCCTATCAGCTTGTCGACTTGCGCTAAGCTACTAGTAATCAGGCTTGGAATTCAAAGATAGTCCACTTCAATATATCTGTACTTGGTAATCACCTGAGCAATCACTACAGTATTAGTAGTTCTACTACTAATTAGTGTCTGGACGACATTCATATGTGCCTCTGTCAGGTGCCAATGTCAATGCCAAGTTCAAGGTCAACTTCAAGTTGAGGTGGTGGTTGAGAGCCGGAGGTAGAAATATATTCAATCACACCGGGGCACTTCAAGTTCAACTTGAAGAATTCTTGAGCTGTTTAATTTGATACAAAAAAGGACAGGTAGATGCAATTATTAGCCAGTATTAAATAAACTTAGTAATACTATGCCCAGTACCTCTCGTAGTAGGCATAGATCTACTCTATACTAATAACTCGATTCCATGGACCCGTGGAAGCCTCGGCTGATGCCGTTGGAGCCTTGGCGCCTAAAACTTGAGGCCACAACACGGACCGACCTTCGATAGAATTCGGTGGCTTTCGCCCTCGCCGCGTACCCTGGTTCAGGCTGGGAACTCGTACCGCCGTGAGCACTAGTGGCAGTTAGTAGCTCCAGTCAGAGCTGGGATCTGGGATCTGGACGGTGGGAGCTGGCGCTGGCCATGGCCCCGGGTTCTGGAGGGTCAGTGCAGGAAGACTCCGTCGTGGTGCAGGGTTGGGAGTGTTGGTTGAATGTGATTAGCCGGGGAAGTGTGGTGTCTAGGATAGATGTACTCCGTACTCCGTACTCCGTAAAGTGAGATGGGTGCTTGTTCGGAGGCTAGTAACCCAATCAGCTAGAGGATCGGTTGGAGAGGCCCAGACCACACCTTATCCTTGGCGGGTAGGAGAGCCATTGAACCAGAGGAAGGAGCCGCAGGCATCCGGATGGTGTGAATGGGATGATAGATGGTATTAGATGCGGTAAATTGTAAATAGTACTAGTAGTTTAGTATACTGCATAGTACGGAGTACTATGATATACTTGATGTATCAAGTATACCATTATACCTTACCTCTACTTCGTAGAGGTATACCTCTGGGTATACAGCAGGTAACTACATGACGTGTCGCATCTCCACGTCAGAAAGAGGCAGAATCATCACATCATCCTGGCTCCACTGCTCCTTCCCTGTGTCCACTGCTGCCCTCTGCTGCCCACTCCCGTTCCTTCCCCCTGTACTCAGTCTACCCTGCCTGCGCCCGATCGCCCCTTCCCCCCCTAAACATTCTGTGTTTCTGATTCTGTTGTTTCCCTCTCCCTCTCCCTCACCCCCTTCCCTTCCACTCTTCTCTTCCACTTCCACTTCTACTTCTCTTTCTTCTTCCCTACTTTCCCACTTTACCTATACCTATTCTCTCCCCCCGCCCCCCGTCCCCCTTTTCCTCTCTTCTCCTTTCTCCTTTCTCCTTTTCTTTTCTTTTCCTGTTTCTATCAACTTCCACCCACTCCAATTATTAATAGATTTTGCCACGGCTCCGCTCTCTGCCTGCTCTCCCCCCCAAATCCCACATCTTGACACGGTCGCGCGACAGTCGTCCATTCCTTGCCCCTTCCGCTCTAAACAACCAATTCATCCACCATCACATCCACCACCACCACCCTCCACCGCCATCAACCACACCCACAATAAAAAAAAGTTATACATCTACCTCTACCACCACCACAATTCTTCCCCCTGCTTCCCCCCTTCCCACTGGCAATTCCCATCCTCCACATTTCAACATCCGAGCGCATGGAATCGACCTATCACTTTCTCATATAAACACCCTATCGTCTCTGCCCGACCCGACCCGATTCCTGCCCATCTCGCATGGCATGTTTCGCCTGCTACCCTGGCCCTCTGCGATCGGAGGGGACAAGGTAATGACTGAGGAAGTCAAAATGCTGGCTCCCTCATGTGCCCCCGTCAATGTCAACGTCAACGGCCTCTCCCTGCCGCCCATGTTAAAGCGCAAGCGTTCGTCCTCATCAGCGACTGACGCGCCCGCTGCAACCAAGGTGCGCACCGAGGAGTCCACGCGACCGGTACAATCTGTCCCTTCGATGCCTCCAACGCCCTCTCCGTCCGTCGCGCCCTCGGTCGATGTCGCTGCGACTTCGGTTGCGCCATCCCCAACCGCCACCATGGAGATTGAGCGTCCGCCGGCGCAGGCCGCCAGTGGGAAGCCAAGTGTCAACCACATCCGGGATACGATCACCGCCCAGCTCAGTCTGGAGGTTCTCCTCAAGCACAACGAGCTACGACTGATCGACCAGGAGATCGCCAAGTGCCAGATCGCGCTGGAGCAACTTCGTCGCTGCGCGGAAATCCCCTATCCAGGGTCTGCGGTCGCCGGAGTCTCCGCCGACGTCAGCTCTGGTGTGGGCGCCTCAGTGCTACAGCCTGGAAATGGCCCAGCACCCATGTCGCCCGCGCCCTGGGGTGTCGCCGAGGGTCCCTACTCGCGTCACTATAAGCAGTGGCTCATCCCCGATCCTCGGTTCGACGGTGGCCTGGCGGAAGCGACTCCGGTCTCGGGTGTGTCCGGCATCCCGCTGGAAGGTGGCCGGTCAACACGTGGGAACCCGATCGACTTCAGTCAGTTGGCTGGAAAGAGCCGACCGTCGCGTACGTCTACGGGTGCGAAGATGCAATCCCTGCCGCAAATATACCCGCCCCCACGAGAGAAGGCTGGTCCCATGGTTATTCGACGCAAGTCGGACGGCCTGATGGTCAAGCTGGTCTGTCTCGATTGCAAACGGGAGAACTTTTCCAGCACCCAAGGGTTTATTAATCATTGCCGTATCGCGCACAACCGGAACTTTACCAGCCACGAGGCTGCGGCCATTGCCTGCGGTGCCGCGGTCGATTTGGATGATGCCGGCGTGGTTGTTGGTGGTGCTCGATCTGAGCCGCAGAGTGCTGTTGCCACCCCAGGCACTGTTCACCCTCTGATTCAATCAGTTCAACTACCGCCCCCGAGCGCCATTCCATCTTCGCCCAAGGATTTGGCCACGCCACGCAAACCTTCGGAAGTCAACTCCACTGCGGCTGTTGCCACTCCTCCTGCGATGGTGAAGCCAGCCTCTGAACGGCACCGCCAATCAGAGCCGGTGAAGGCGAAGACCAACCCTTCGTTCCTCGCTTCCCCTGCGACCCCTCACCTGTCTGCTCTTATGCGTCAGCGCGGATTGGGCCTGAACCTGGACAAGTTGGTGGAAGAGGCCAAGACCCCAGTTGATCTGAGCAGCCTGTCAGATGCGGATTCGGATGGTGAAGATTCGACCCACCCGTCAACGGAGTCTCAGCCAGGGTCCTGCGGCAGCCCGTCAGCCTATGCGGATGCCTACAGCCCAGGCTGCCTCTGAGCGGACTGAGAGCCGCAAGGGTATCGATAGAGCGCCCCATGAGCCCCAACTGCAACACGAGATGACTCCTTCACGGCCGCAGCCCCCATCTTTCCTCAACTTCCCGTTCCACGGCCACCTCCCGGCCGGGACACGTGAAGGGGATGGTCTGGACCACCCTGCCAATCTCAGCCCTCATACGATAGAGTCCAACCAGGCACCCAGCTTGGTCAGTGACGATGAGGATGACTATGAGGCCGCCTCCGACTCGGACAGCCCTAGTTCATCTGAGGCCGATGAGCAGGAGCAGGAATTCCGCCACATCGAGGTGGCAGATGACGAGCGCAACACTGCGCAGTCTACTACCACTTCCGAGCCCAAGCCCGGGCCGTCCCTGAACCCTACACCTCAGGCTGCCCCCATCGCGCATCCTCTGAAACGGAGCCGGTCCAAGCGATCCGTGTTGCCCTTCGATCGCGACGAGGACGATCAACGCATGAGCTTCGTCCACCCCAACCAGGATGCATCCAAGCCGAAGCGTGCGGATCCCAAAAAATAATAAAAGAATAAAAAGACGCCCACACACCACACACACCCTCATACTTGAAATTTACGTCGACACTGCTATCCATCATGCAGCTATCGGCTTTCACCACCCTGTATTCGCTACTCCTCTCTTCTTTCTGAGATCTATTGGTCGAAAGATCTATTCCTCTCAGCGTCTGTTTTCAAACCCTTATTGCCTCTTCCCAGCGGCGTTCTATTTTTGTTTTAATTTTTACGTCTTCGTGACGAGCGTGCAAGGTCTATTGTGTTGTTGTTGTCTTGATGATGACGTGACATGATATGGCAGTGGCACTGGCGATGGTGAGATGGTTGATGACTCTCTTCTTACGATGCGCCTGTATCTGATATTTGGTTAATGAGCTTTCACGGCCGGACTGTACATAAGTTTAAGATTGACCCAAAAATGCGACTGGCTTGAGGCATAGACTTTCATTTCTTGTAAAGCTAAGCGTAGCTGTTTAGTCCCATTCGATTAGCCAGCCATATGAGCTATCTTCTGAGTATCTCTGGATTTGTTTACAAGCATGGGGGTGGCTCGGGGCTCGGGGCTATGGAATACCATGGGATCTTGATACTGGTATAGGCGTATTGTAACTTTCACCTTTAATGTGGGCCCGAGCTTCCATAATGCTGACAAGACGGGTATTTTACACTTATCGATAAGTAGCGTTCCCCCAGGAATTCCCATCTCGCGGGGACCCTAAGGTCAGCTCCGCGTACGGGAACCTCTTGTTACTCTTGCTGCAAGCTCGCAATTACACCGCACAGTCTGCTGCAAGCCAGTTCCTCGCCCGCAATTCTACTACAGGAACTTACTCACAAGAGTCCGTACGAATCAACCATTCTCGACCATGGCAGTCGACATGACCTCCCTGAAGGAGCACGCCAGCACCAGCGAACGCGAACGCGACGAACCCTTCGACGCCGAAGCCGACTTCCACCCTACACGCATAACACCACAAACCTTCCAAAGACTCCTTACCTGCTACAACACCACAGCCCAAAACGTCCAACGGCGCAAAGCAATGCTGAAACTGCAGCCTAAGGGTGCTAGTTCCAAGAAGCGGAAGACCGGCTCGGGGTCGAGCTCGGATGTGCTGATTACGAAAACGGAGTTTGACCCCTCTGAGGAGCGCATTATTAAGGATCAGCTGGATAGATACCTTGAACTTGATAGCTGGCGGTATTGGGGGATGCCGGTTCTTATCTGGCAACGGTTGGCGATGGGGAATCTTGAAGATGCGGAGGATGATGAGGCTGCTTATTTTACGAGTGAGGAACTTTGTCGGACTATGGAATGGAAGACGTGAGTTCATTCATTCGACTCCTCAATTGAACCCTTGGAGAATATATGGGATCATTCTAACAACTATCCAGCAAACACGGTCGTCCCCGTCCCGCACTCATGGGAATGATAAAATCCAACCAAGAGAAATTGGTCTTTAAATGCACTTCCACAGCCTTGAAGTCTCTACCAACCATCAAGGACAAGAAAAATTTCACCTCCAACTCCAATCCCACGACCATCCCAGACGAAGTCTTCCCAAAACAAAGCATGGACGACCTAAGTCCCCTCCGCGGCGTCGGGCCCGCAACAGCATCCCTAATCCTCTCCATCGCGACCACGAATGCAAAGGACGGAGAAACCGGTGAAGAATCCGAACGAATTCAAGTCCCCTTCTTCAGCGACGATACGTATCTCTGGCTTTGTGTTGAGGTGTTTCCCGAATCATCTGTGTCTTCGGAGACGGTTCGGGTCATTCGGAATGGTGGGAGTGGGGATGGGGCTGGGAGTGGAAAGGGTCCGGGCTCGAAGTTTATAAAGCCGAATGGCGAGTTGAATCTTAAGTATAATATTGCGGAGTATCGGGAGCTTTGGGAGGCTTGTTTTGAATTACGGGAGAGGTTGAGTGGTGGTGGTGCGACGATATCCATGGCTGATATCGAGAAAGTCGCTTATGTTTTGAGGAATATCGCTCTTTCGGGATATTATCCTGATATTGATATGCAGGAGATTCTACGAATGAGTGCTGAGCAGGTGGAGGCTCTTTTGGTTCGTCTGGGAGAGCCTGAGGGCGGTGATGGTGATGAGTCGCCGGAGCAGAAGAATGAGAGCGAGACTCAGGATGTGAAGGGGTCGAGGAGTAGCAAGAGGACTCGGACCAAGAAGGCTTAGTCGGGGGTTTTTCTTGCCTATTTTGTTCTTTCTTGCATTTGTCTATCCCCGTGCCTATGTCCATTCCATTTTTTGAGGGCCGTGGGCGATATCTGTGGATGTGAGATTTGTACTAGTATACTTGTTGGACTTATGATTTGATACCCGAATTCCAAGATATTTTTGTTTCATTAAAGCTAGTAAGTACGGCTGTATCTACTAGTATGGAACTGGCAGAGGAATTTCATGTTCCATAGAGCTATCGGCGACTGCGCTGTAGTATCTGGCGATATGACATCGATATAGTACTCCAAGCTGTCAGTCTATATCATGAGGTAGAGCAATATGCTGATGTGATTGAACAACACGAGGCGAGATAAACTACTAATGGTACTATCTGGCTATACATAATACGATCTTTTCCGCATACTATCCAACTCCAACACCGCACTTTGACTACAACGAAAACAATTTCTATAAAATCACAGAGTGATGGGAAAAAGAAACCGACCAGAAAAGTCGAATCGCCCGAATTTTCCGCGTTAATTCGACCCAGAAAACAAAAATCGAGATACTCTCGCAAAAGAAAGCTGGTTGGTGAGGGATTCGAACGCGCATCCTCACCGTCGCCGTCGCCGCCAAAACTTTTGGGATAACTTCGGTTCCTTCCCGATTAGGAAGTGCATATCCAAGATTTGGGCACAGCCTCCTCCAATTCTTCAACAAAGAGTAAGAAGAAGTTGGATAGAAAAGAAAAAAAAGATATCATTATACCTCGACAGCCCTTTGGGAATGCCTTTTGACCACCCGCCCACCTGGATCCCCACCCGCCAGTCCGTGCCAGGCCGCAACACGGAGGGCGGCTCCCCAGACAAGGGGAGCTTCGGTGGGAGTGGCTTGGCCACTGCACCACCTGAGGTGAGGACATTGACAGTACTGCTGAGTTTGCAAACGTATAGGATCTTTTTGACGTCATTTTTGCTGTGTTTGTTATTGTATAGAGATCATGCTGGTGAATTGTGTTTCACACTAAGTGCACTATGGATGTGAATTCATGCTGGATGAACAAAATGGATTGTAAACATTAGTCTATCTCGACAGAGCACGAAAAGTGACAGCAGTACTCTCCCGCGTGAAGCATTTGAAGCGCTTGAAGTATGTGATGGCAAGTGTACTTCGGGCAATTGCCGGTGGTTGCCTGAGGAGTCTCAGTGTCTCAGTCTCTCAGTCTCTCCATAGATCGCAGTTGCCGCCGGCTGTTGACAGCCAACAAAACACAGAACATCACAAGAAGCAAAAAGCATTCCTAAGTCAATCACCTCTCCTTCTCCCACCAAATATGATGTTGATCATCTACTTCCACCGTACCGAGGCAGATCGGTGTCATCGGTTGTAATCCGGGGAAATCCCCACTCGCCATGCTTCCCCCCCGCAACCTCCACTTCTCGCTCGCCTAGCACCCCCGGCAAGATGCAAGATGGATATTCGTGTCACCCAAAGCAGCGCACACCCAAGGCATGCGATCGGTGCCACCGGCAGAAATTGAAAGTGAGAGTTCCTCCAAACTGACACCATCTATTCCAAATGCTAACCCGTTCCCCAGTGTGATACAGCCCGTCCCTGTATTCTCTGTGTCCGAGCCTGTCGCAAATGTGAAACCACCACGAGAAGGGCCCCTCGCCGAAAAGGGCTGCGACAGAATAATGCTTCAAATACAGCTTTGCGACCAAAACCAGCTGTGACCGGATCCTCGCCTGAGCTCGTCTCGCCAGCGTCGACTGCGACAACGTCGGATAAGCATCAACTGAACACGAACACGAACACGAACTCCTCCACGATTGATTTCGCACGACAAGTATTCAATGAGCAAGAAACAGGGCGCATTCTGACCGGTGCCTCGCTCCCCGGAGATGTGGGCACATCGAACCCTGGCGAACAGTTATGGGGTTTGCAACAAATCAAGATGCCCCCGACCCCGGTTATGCTCTCTCTGTTTGACGCTTACTTCCACCGAGTGCAATGGTTCATTATGTTGCTTGTTGAGCCTCATTTTCGGAACACCGCTCAGGACATCATTTCTCGAGATCAGTGGCCTCGCCGAGAGCTGGGTTCATGCATGCTACTCCTAGCTGTCGCGGCGATCGGACTGCAATCTGTTCTCTCTGACAAAGATTGGACTGGGTATGATCAGCTGCGTGTCCACAATATCGATCCGGAAACTTTGCTCCAAGGATTTATTGCGGAGATACGCCTCCACTTGCTAGATGTCCTGGAAGACTGCCAAGTTGAAGCCGTACAGATACCTCTGCTTTTGTCTTCTTACTATGTCTTCCACAACTCTCCTCGTCTTGCCTGGACTGTTCTGGGAATGTCGCTTAGGGCAGCATATGCTCTAGACATGCAGAATCAGGATACATCGGGTACGGATCTAATTATGGCAGAAACAAAATCAAGGTGCTGGAATCACCTCGTCGTCTCGGATACCTTTACTTCCATGGTTTATGGCCGACCCGTTTCGATCGACTACGCCGAAGTTCATCAACTGAGAGTTTTGGACGACCTCACCTTACCGCCTGGTCTATTTACCTCTCTTCCTGGAGCAACAGACAATGGCAATATTGGAAAGGGGTTATTCCACGTCATGAAAACCGAAATATACGAGATCGTGCGTCAGACGCTTCTTCGATTCCACCGACTTCGCCTAGGGCCGACAATGGAAGACAAAGACCTGGAGGCCATCGCGTCAATAGTTCAATATTCGGATAACGCGCTACAATCATGGAGAGGGAATGTACCTCAAATTTTGGACTTTGAATTTTGGCGGGGTGAAGGGTGGCACAGACTCAGCCAGGAGGTCCAGGAGTCTACCGAAGCCGTGAAAGAGCAGGCAGAAACAATGTTTCTCCAAGCAGCTCTTCTACAACTGACATATGACTCCGCCCTAATCCAGATCCACCGCTCCCTCCTAGAAAGGAGACTAAGAACTGCATATAAACCCGTCGTGGACGCAATAAACAGATCCCTCGTTGCAGCTACAGCAGCAGCTCTTCGAATCTCACAAATCCCAGTCCACAAATTCCGAAAACACTTTGCTGGATCATTTGTTTCGATGCAACAATTTACAGCTGGAGTCATTCTTTGCATTCAACCCACATGTCTCCCGTTCTCGCCCGCTGCGTTGGAAGCCAAAGCCGGGGTTCTGAAGATAATAAGGGCAAGTCGGACGGAGAGCCACCAGAATCGGATCGCGAGACACACCGAGCAGCTTCTCACTGAATTGCTGAAAGTCACAAACCAGCGTGAGATGGCCTGCGCCCTGGGCGATAACGTGAGTGGTAGGGCATCCAAAGAAATCATGTTCAACGGGCCGAGCAGTGCCGTTCCTCAAGCATGCCCACCCGTAGTCGAGGCATATGGTGGGAGATCCTCGTCTATAGCGCCTATCTCTACCTCACAAGAGTTATCTGAAAATGGGAATGGATCTTGGGGAGAGAATTCGGAATGTGAATTGTCATCAAATACCGCAACTTCCTTGGAATATCCGTCCGAATACATTTTCGAGCAATTGGACAGTACGTTCGGTGCATTTGGAGAATGTGAGTTAGCCAATATCCCTTTGCCATGACTACGAAAATTGAAGTTCTAACCCGCCACAGCAATTTTCAACATGATGCCCGAAGATCAGAATAGCAGTTGGAATTGGGGTCGCACATTCCCCTGAATTCAAATCACAGCGAAAATATTCATTTGCTTCGCACCGGCATACACCGAGTTAACTAGAGTGTGTATCTAAACCCGGCTAGCCCCTCGATAATCTTTCCACCACCTTCAGCCCGCTTATTCGCTCGAGAGAACTTGAAACTCATCGCAGCGACAATAAGGATGATCGCTGCATTGGCCAACATAGTTGCCAGAAGCCCCGGGTGATAATTCGGTGCGTCCTGGGCGCGGAATACTGTCGTCCCGAAGATTCCGCCAATACTCCCGCCGCCGATGAGGGTTGCTGATGTGAAAGCTCGTTTCCACTGGCCGCGGATGTTGTTGCTGCAAGAATGTAAGCATATACTAGTAGTCAAGAAAGGCATGGTTTGGGGGGCTATCAGCTCCGGAGATAGAGCTTAGAGTAATGGGAAGTAATTACCTTTGCCAAGATACCAGTGCCGGGCAATTTGCGTTTCCTAGTAGGAATCATTCGGTCAGTCTCGATAATGAAACCAAAATTGCACACAGCATAGAATAGAACTCCAGAGCTTGAAAAACTTGAGAACTCACCAGCAATAGTAGCCAAAAAAATCCCAAAATACCTCGGCGCCGGACTCTCCAAATACCCCATAAGAGCAAGCCCAACCAACCCCATAGCCGCATTAAAAGCAACAACCGGTCCCCGAATCCTCCACTTATCCGCAAAAATCGCTTGAACAAACATAACAAGCGCAGCAGCCGCATACGGAGGCGCAACAAGACACTGAGCCTTCGCGACCGAAAACCCCATACTTTCCTGCAGAATAATCGGCAGGAAAAAGGCGATGGAGTAAGTATTTGCTGTAGTGAGGAGGTAAAGTAGGCTATAGGCCCAGACTTTGCTATCGGCTGCGTTTGAGAGATATGATTTTAGGGAGAATGGTTCGGAGTAGACGTCTGAGCGATCGGCTTCTAGACGGGCGACTATGAAGGCGGCTTCGGATTCGTTGAGGAAGTTCCATGACTGGGGGGGACTTTTCGGGGAAATCGACTAGGAGGATGCAGGATGTGCATGCTAGGGCGCAGGTTAGGATTCCTTCGATCTGGAGATTAGGTAGGTTGGATTAGCGGGAGTGTATTTGGGAGTTTTCTCGGCATGTAAATGGCAAATCTCTCTCTTCCTTTGTGGTTAGGAAGAAAAAGGTGGAAAAGAGAGTCATTTCCCGCGAGGGAATGAAAGGAGACTCACGATGAAAATCCATTCCCAGCCTGTCCGTCCGGAAATTCCATCCATCTGCATCAATCCATATGCTAATATACCACCGAGACCCGAAGCCATGCTCCCAATTAGGTAAAAGACAGCGTTGCGCTTTTGGAGCTCGTAGCGCGGATACCATGTACTAAGCAGGAAGATGCAACCCGGGTAAAAGCCAGCCTCGAGAGCCCCGAGAATCACGCGTAGGCCAGCCATTACCGGCCATGTTGGAGCGAATCCGAATGCCTGTGATGAGTAGTAGTAGTGTTAGCGTTAGCGTTAACCCCGGTGCTGCAGGTGACCCATCAATGATCTCGGAAACAAAAGTTTTAGTACGCACTATCATAACAGCTCCCCATAACAGAACGATGGTCGAGATAAATATTCTGGGCCCGATTTTCCGGATGATTGCCGTGGCTGGGATTTGAAAGATTGTATATGTGATGAAGAATACCAGCGACGTTATGCTGTAGCCATTGTTGGCTGCGTTCATGTTCAGATCTTTCTGCATTCTGCCAGTGAGGTTAGCCAATTTGCGAGTCTTGCTCTTGATCTTGAATAGATTACCCTGCAACTGATGCTGCGCCCATATTGGTCCTGTCCAGTAGACTGATGCAGTACAGGCAGCCCAGTGTGATAACGAGACGGGTATCAATGCGTCTGATGAGTCGTTTCTGCTCACTTGCGCTCATGGAATTTATGATCTCGTCATGGCGGACATTTGGTTTCTCCAAATCATCATGTTGAGGTAAGTCGGTAGAAGTCTTGTTTGTTGTCACCGTCGCCATTGTTTTGATGTGAGAAGCGTCCGTCACTGCGGGGGGAATTGTGAGAAGGGTCGAGTGTGGACTCGGAGACAATTGAGTCGGGGGTTTTCACAGAAGGAAGTCACGGCGAATAAATAATTCCCCATCATTCTTCCCCGCAAATGTAACGAGGTAAACATCCCCCGCAAGAAAGGTGGGCCTGGATTGTATGTCGTGGGGATGTCCGAGATGCCGGTGGGAAATGACTAGGAATTGGCCAATCGGAGGCGTTCGTGTTAAGAGTTTCTACTTCCACCGGCACCATACCTTGCCGCCGGTGGAACTTCTCATTCTACTTTGCAGAATTTCTGTCTCTGAATAGTATCAGAAGATCCATGATTCAAGCTTTTAGGAATTAGGCCATATCGGCATGCTTCGAAAATTTTATGAATCTGGAATAAATAGCCTGCGTTGGCGATTGGGCTAATGTTAACGGCTATGATGCAGTGGGAATCTAACAAAACAGGGTTGCTAGCTATTATTTTTCAAAATCACACTTCAAAGAGACACATAATTTTCAGTATCTACCATCAGATTCTAGCGCTGGAAAGAAAGCTCAGAAGGATTCTCGGGTATATTACTACGGTGCGCCAAAAGTCAAATAGCCAATACTATCTTGTTTTCGGTCCATCGGTATACTAGCACTAGGCAAAGGGCCTCTCCGGTCTCAAAATCCTCAAAAATATGTCGTTTGAACGATACGTCAAGTACAAGAGGCCTATAAGTGGCTCAGGCAAGCTGTGGCGTCTCCAAGTTTAGTCGTTGAGACTTTGGACGGAAGTGAGACAGTGTAGCTACAGTAAACTAGTCGGTTACTGGGACGAAATTGCCCCCAAAACATTCCTTCTCAAAATCTTTGCAGGCAGTGATAGTTGTCCTGGTTCTCTCAAAAAATTGATAATTTAGTGGTCGGCTTGACACGCCTGAGTGCTGTTACCCATTGTAAAACAAGAGACTCCAGGCTTCGCCTTGAATCTTGGGCTATCACGGACGTCGGTGGTTGAAAAGAAAGCTATCGCATACCGTAGTTACTACCTTTGATAAAAAAGGATTCGAATAATATCAAATACAATTCAGATAGATGATCATTCAAAGCACCAGCGTAGTCAAAACTCCGTGTGCTGGACGTGACTTACTGCGAGCCAATCAGAGCCGACTGCAGGGTAGAAGCCCAGAAACCAGATTTCATTTTTGGGGACATTGAGATTATATATGAAACCGCTGAGCCATAATTTTCCTGAAAGTGGGCAGCGGAGCATACGACACTACAGAGTACGGGCTGTGCCCGATTCACCCAGGCGAAGTGGGGCGTTGGGCGCTCTCCTGCATGTCAGCATTGCTCTCTCCAATGCAAGGCTCGATTTTGCAAACCAAGGCAGATTATTGACGCCACCTTATTCCTCTGGCTCCTGAACGAGGTCGAGTAGCCAATGGTCAACAACTTCACTCTACTGGTCCGGCAATCAAGTTTCAATCTCTCGAGTCTACAAATGCGGCGCCACCGCTGAGCCATAATTTCGCCTGGGATGGTTCTTGTTGTGTCCTGGTGCCTCCTGCATGTCATGATTGCTCTCTCCAATGCAAGACTCGATTCTTCCAAGCCAAGGCAGATTATTGACGCCACCTTATGCCTCTGACGCCCGATCAAGTTCAAGTAGCCAATGATTGCCAGTTGCACTGTGCGGGCCTGTTGATTCAGTTTCATTGCAACTTTAAGGCAAGGGATTATGGCTTTTCCTGGCATTCCCGCTGAGCCATAAAAGTGAATTCACAGAACTCGCCAAAAATTACACAATGCCAGCTCGCATGTGGCGACATGGAATTCATTCCCTCCTCGAAATACCATGACATAAGCTTCCTGAGTCTTTGGAATACATGCTGTCTTTCATGTATATCGCCTATAGCATACTCACCCTTCTACGCCCTTCCCCAAAAGCTCAACTTGATTTCATTGTTGAATATACAGGATGTAGACATAGAGGGTTCATGTAAAAGGCAGCGTTAAGAGCTTCTCTTCCAACTACTTTCGTCTTCGTCCTTGTACGACTCCACAATACTTAGACTTCGCTCTCCAGCATACGCAACAGACCTATGCCCCGAAAGATACCAAGGGTATAATTTTAGATTACACGATTGAACTCCTAAGATTTCGCCCTCCCTCCTTACATTGCTTTCTTGGTATGTAAAGGATTGAGGCTTGCAAGCTAAGGCGGCCGGTTTATCGACGGTACCTGTTATGCCTTTGACCCCCAATCAAGTTCAAGTAGCCAATGACCGCCAGTTGCACTGGGCTAGGATGTTAATCCAGTTTCAATTTACTTAATGGTTGCATGATCGCGATCATGCAGTCCCCCCTTTCCTTCTGTTGACAGCCACACTGCTTCTCCTTCCTCCTCTTCCCTCCGATCATCTCTTCTTCTCGTATTTATCCCTCATCCATATCCTTTAGAAATGGACAGTTTCGCCATCTCTGAACCATAGATTACCACGAAGTGGGCGAAGAAGAAAATCCCGCACCCAATGTGCGCATGTCGTCGTTTACATTCCGGGTCAAGAAGGCACGAGAGGAGGTTGGAAAAGCCGTTAATGAGCACGCGCTCATCATATCAAAGAACGAACTACCTCGTAGGAGCTTAACAATTGATGGCTCCCAAGCCACAACAAGCAGCTCGGGCAGAACAATGGATAGTAATCTACAAAGAACGTACTAGATGGGTCGGGTATCTTATCATCTTTAACTTCTTCGAAGACATCATGGTCCAATCCCTCAAGGGTGTAGCTTAACATAACTATACACTAACGAACTAACTAGATCTACTAGTAACTATTATTTAAACTTTTGGCCCCTACCTCAATTACGGTGGACTATAGAGGCCTTCGGACCATATCAATTTTTCCCTCATGAATATTTTATCGCCATGCCCTCCTATATCTGGTTTCTGGCCCCCCTAGCCGTAGTTATAAGGAACGGTCTGATAGTACGCATTACTAGTGATGGAGCATATGTAGTCATGTTGCAAAAGTTTGAAATATCTCGTTGACTGTTCTCCTCTCCATCTACCAGTTAATAGAAGACTAGTAGCTACCTAAGATGGAGTAGATAGGTTAATCTATTCATCTTAGGTAGCTACTAGTTTTCTACTAGAAGGTGGTCAAATAGCTAGAGTGGGTAATTGGGAATTTCAAATTTTTGTAACGCTACGGTGGCTATTCAATACACTAAGCTACTAAGCAAATTTAAAAACTACCTTTCTCAATCAATTTCTGATAGATCTTTTTTAATTTTGAAATCCATCAGGCTTCGTAGCCGCCTTACCTTATCAAGATATCGGTAAGCTTGTATACTAGGGCCCGCATGAGGTGATGAAAGAGAGAGTATTCTGCCAGTAGAAATTGATATGGCCCGAAGGTCATAGTCAGTCCACCTGAGATGGCCATGAAGAACAGAATACAGGACATCAAATTGGCGTGCAATGCGCGATATATTTGGCATTTTGACGGCACGAGCGACTTTGCCGGCCTTGATCAAACGAAGTTCATATTTTAACTGAATTACTTATGGGCCTCATACTCAGAAATAGTAGATACACATGATGGGGGCAATCGGTAACTGGATTTGATGCCTTAGATCATATTACTTGTGTCCATTACCGGCGAGGGAGGAGCCTCGCTTGAGGCCGTACTGTGGACCGATCGCTGGTCATCCGGAGACATGCAGCTACCATCCGTCATCTCGGAGGCCTGATTGTCTTTGCCCGTAGGGGCGACAATAACTTGAGCGGGGCAGACGACAAACTCGTCGTCGCCCTCACCCGCATCATCGCCTCTCTTGATAACAAGAGGGAAGAGAACGATACGAACGACGGCTTTCTCCTCCTCTAGCTTCTCGTTGGAAGGAGTTTCACCACTGCGCTCGTTCATCAATGTGGCTGTGAAATACACCTGACGCACTAGGTCACCGTTGGTGTCGTATTCGGGCTGTAGGGGGGGGGGGCATAATAAACTCCGCTATCTGTGTGCGCATCTCCAGGGACAAAGAGACGGCAAAGCGTAAAACCTTACGTAAGGACTCGATGAGCTGAGCTTCTACCTCTAACGAGGGTGGAAGGATATGAGATAGGGTACCAAAGATCTCGAGTACGACAACTTCAATTTCACTTTGGCACTGGGTAGCGAAAGCCGGTAGCTGGGACTGTAGCTTCAAGGAAGTCGCACGCCAGCGGTGTACTGCAGAACAAGGCACGACCTCTGCTAATTGTTTCTCAAGAGACTTGAGCTTCTGGCGCTGATCGCGGTCCATGCCGAATAGGTAGCGGGTGAAGATAAATTCCCACACCATAGTCATGGTCACTGACATAAATACATCACGACGGCGAACACGATCGCTGAGGTAGGCTTCGACGTTGGAACCATCGAGGACCGCATTCTCGAAGCGGTCGGCCATCTTTTCATCCAGCTCACCCAGAGCCCGGCAGTGACTGTGGTCAGAGTGCTTGGAGAAGCGCTGCACCCATCGTTGGACGGAGTGACAGAGCTTCTGGCACGTAACATCGAAATAATCTTCGTCGCGGAAGACTAGATTGTTGGGATGGCGGTGGTCAAGAAGCAGTTCCATTATTTCTTTGCCAGCCATCCCATTTTCAGCCGCAGCCTTCACCACCTCTTCAGTGATAGTGATATCGTCCCCCCCGCCGCTCGAGAAGCAGTGCCATCACTTCTTTGCCGGTCATCATATTTCCAGCTGCAGCCTTCACCACCTCTTCCGTGATGTTGATCTCGTCCCCCAGCTGGTCGAGAAGCAGTGCCATAATTTCTCGGCCATTGTATATATTTCCAGCCGCCTTCACGACCTCTTCGGTTATTGCAGCATCATTTGCCCGCGGGTCAAGACGCAGCTCCATCATCCTGGCAGAGGTTGAAATGCTTTCACCTATCAGGAAAGAGAGTTTAGTCAACACGGAGGCTTCAGAAAAGTAGGTAGATGGCCCACTCGAATGGAAAAGTTACCCGCAAACTCACCTGGCAGAACCTTCTCGTCCGTCGCTGATAGCGGGGGCAAATCTGGGTCGTAGGGCATTGGTAACGGATTCGGTTCCTCTGGATCGTTATCCAGAATTTGTAACCAATCGCCTGTACCTGACTGCCCTAATATTCCATGCGGGACTTGTTCGAGAAGATCCTCTGTAAGTTGTTGTTTTTGTTCCTCGTGCATAGAATTTGCTGGTGCTCTGGAATCTGAGCCAGCAATGCTCCCCGGCTTCGTGGCCAGGGCTGACCCTTCAGAAGAAGTCGACAGGACCTCGGACCGGCAGCTGTCAACGTCAAAGTAGGAATGCTGGTTGAAAAAAGCCCCGAATTCTTCTTCGTCCCCCTCCCCCTTATCATCAGTTCCTTCAAAGCCTTCTCTCGGTGCCCATGGCAAAGACCTCAGTGAAAAGGAGTGAATATGCTCAGCCGCGTGGTCAAGCAGGGCGTTTTGGTCATCACTCTCAAAGCAGCAAAGTGGACAGGCGGAAACTTTCAGAGGCACTTTACGCCGCCATGCTAAGCGTAGCATAGGTATCTGCTGTGGCTTAATCCCCTTGCTATGCTGCTGTTCAATATGTGCTGTGAAGTGGCTCGATTCCCTGAAAGTGGCATATATGTTCTTCTGGGAGCATGCACGACATTCCCACTGCTCTATGCCCCAATGCTCTTTCTCCATGTGGCTTAACCAAGTTTCTTTACTCATATAGAACGTGTTAGTCTCAGGACAGTCCTCGAAAATACATGTGTACGGTAAAATATCTCCCATCAGATGCTTCCTGTTTAAAAAATAAGACTCATCAGATCGAGTCACTGTTTTTGGGAAGATAGACTTACTTCCACTGGTTGCTTCGCCCTACCGCGACAGGAAGAGACTGACAGCAACAAGGACAAGTGAAAACCATTTGATCATTGTGGAGAGGCGGGGGCTTTGGATAAGAGACTCGAGAGCTTGTTACTGACACGACTGTCGTTGTAGGCCCGGTTATCTGCTTCGGTTGAATCACAATTGCTTCGTCCACCAGCGTGGCAGTTGTCGTAGATTGAGCATGTAGGTCATCTTTTATATCTGTCCTCTCTCCTTGTGAAAGGGAAGCTGTCTCGTCAACTTCCGAACACGTCTGCTTCATCAATGCTGATTTCTCATCTAATTTGTTAATTCGGTGTCTGGAAGTGATTCCTAGCTTCTGAGCATGTTTCTGTGAGTATATAAAACGATTTCGCCGTGTTAAGTTAGCTTCGATCATCCGTAATTGAATCCGGGTCAATCTTGCTGGGTCAAGCTGTTGTTTGCTTGAATCCGATGTTCCATGCTTGTCGGGGTGTATCAGGAGGAGGATTTCAAGGTGTCGGCGCAGGGAACAAATTTGGGGACTGTTGGGATCGAATGAACTGTCTGCCTTTTGAAGTCGGGACCGGGTTCCGGCTTTTCGAATCGCCACCGTAAGTTTTGTGAGCTGGTCCAAACTGTCTTCGACATCCTTCATTCTGGCTAATTCTTCGCTAGAAAGCTCCACCGCAGTAGCCTCAACTTTTTGGCCTAGGACGCGGAGTCAGATAGAGTAGAGAGTTCTATCCAGGGATACATTCATACCTCCATCTATGCATTTTTGCACCAGAATCCTCAACATCAACAACAGATTGACCAGGATAGAGTGGGCTTGCGGGTGGTTGTCGCGTAGTCGATGATCCAGCGAGGCTTTCCCTGTGGCAGAAGCACCGGCGCCAGTAGACCAGATATTAAAATCCGCCAGCCTATTCTCAGCCCATTCTTGTCTCATTAGCCGTAGGACTGTCGTGGCCGTCCTAAAGACGTCACGACATGTTGTGGCAGCGTCAAAGATTGTAGACAGTTCTGACATGGTAAGAGCTGTTCCTCGTGACCATGTGCCGACGTGGAGAGCAAAGCACTGATCGACGGAAGTTTCAAATCGCTCGAGGCAACATCATATGTGTCGTCTTTCTCAACGAGATGAGCGTATACCGCGATACCCAGGGAAACAGACGGTGTGTACCCCGCCATGCCTCATGCGAGGTTGGGCAGGGATGCTGTCACGTGGGATATGAACGTCAGCTTTCACTTTCAGCTTTCCTCGTGTTCTTCCAGTGGAAGCCCATCGCCACCAGCAGGTGGAGTCAGGGAGTGTCATCCAAGATGGACAATATCCTCGATCTGTGTTGGGATGTCTTTCCTTGGATCAGCATCCAAGCAACCCGTCTTGGCCTGGAAATGCAAGATAACAGATTCGCTCAGCTAGGCGGCCAAATGTTCATCTTGAGTCAACAAAATCCCCCCTCGGGCCAGAGAGAAATACATGACAAGCTGCTCAAGGTTGTAACGCTCGTTAACAAAGCTTGTTCTGTAAGTGAAATTGTTCAGTCCGTATAGCAAGCCGGAAAATGCACCATAGCTTATTACCGGAACAACTCACAACCTAGGCCCACAGATCCGGACATTACAGAGATAATAGGTCTTTTGACGCACTCCAGAGGATATCTGAGTACATGTACTCAAATACGCCTGAGGAGAAAATACTTATTAGCGATATTCGACGTAGCCTGCCACAGTTCGTCCAGCAGAACCCCGAGTACCATTCCCTCCTTTGGTTCATCACAGATTGCCTGCACGCAATGGATCCGCCAGACGCCCTTCCTGATGAGCAGATACGCTTATATGATAAGGATACCAAATACCCTGCGCGGGTCAGCAATGCCCTTCATACCCAACTGCGAATGTACTCAGCATGTTCGTGTAGCACGCAACACCTTGATCACGCCTGGCTGCGACTGGATCCTGAGAATGATAAGCAAGATGATGAGGATATTCCATTCGACCTAGTGTTTTCAGCAGGCCACACTTCGTGTGGCATGACCAACTGTCAGTTACAGTGGAAAGAGGTGAAAATATCGGTTGCTAGGTATGAACAGTGTGAAATTTCTAAGAATGGGCTAAGTTAGCTAACATTCTGCTTCTCATACTTTCGTAGAAAAGAAAAACCACCGGGAAACAGACAAGTCGCATTCGCTATCCAAGGTTCGAGCCCATCGCCTAGGATATTGAGCAAGTCACCTCTACAACATAGTCTCCGAAAAGTCAAACTCGGAGAATTCTGCAGGATGATTGGATGTGAGAACAGCAAACCCATCCAGTTCCACATCCAAAACAACGCAATGAAGCTCGCCGACGTCGTCGACGGGACCGCCTGGAGACGTTTCCTCCCCCAAGCGAGTATCCCTCTTTCAGAGTGGCTGAAAAATACAGCATATCTCTCCAACAGGGTGAAAATAACGTTGGCATATACAATTGCGAGGTCAGTGTGGCAGTACTATAATTCGTATTGGATGGCGAAACCGTGGACGCATGAAAATATCCACATGATGGTGGAGAAGATCACCGATCGGAACCACACCCAACCACATCTTTATTTTACCACGAAACTTCAAAAGTGTAAGAAGGACCAAATACTGGACTACTGCATCGCGGACGACATTTGTCATATGTATCCCAGTATTCTTGCGCTGGGGGTTGTTCTCATTGAGATTGCAGCCATGGAACCGTCCAGACCTAAGTCTCCTCATCACCTCTTCGATGAAACCACGATCAATGATTACTATGAGTGGGCATGGATCACGGCAAACCGCAGTAACTTGGGGAGTACGATCGGAGCGGCTTATGAAGCGGTTGTAAACAACTGTCTTGATGCCGAACTATTTAGAGATGGCCCTGGTGACCCGTCGAAACACGAAGAAGACCTTGAAACCAGGCAGTCCCTTCTCTATGACAACGTCGTGTTACCCCCTCCGGGCGCTGTATCATGCATACAAGGATGACTGGGAAATCCAGGGAATCCCCAACTTGGAAGTTTCCAGCTCTCCAAAGGTGCATCAGACAGAACACCCATCCCTTTCAAAATCTGCCCGTCGTTCCCAATTCACCGTCGCTATTTTCTGTGCGTTAACCTTGGAAGCAGACGCCGTCAATGAGGTTTTTGAGGAGATTTGGGATGAGGAACACGAGAACTACGGCAGAGCAGCCGGAGATCACAACACGTACACCCTGGGCAAAATCTTTCGCCATAATGTCGTTCTCGTCCATATGGCTGGCATGGGGAAAGGCGCCGCATCACAGGCAGCCTCGAGTATACGATTTAGCTATCCGGAAATCAAGCTTGCGCTTGTGGTTGGAATATGCGGGGGTGTTCCATCATATTTAGACGGCAAGGATGACATCATCTTGGGAGATGTTATGATCAGTGATGGGATCGTCCAATATGACTTCGGGAGACAATTTCCCGATACCTTTTTGAGCAAAGCGGGACCAGAGGTTGTTGCTCGACCTCGCCCCGAAATTCGGGGCATGTTGGCGAAACTGAAGGGGATGCAAGGGCAAAAACGCCTGGAAACAAAGCTTTGTCAATACCTCAGAGTGTTGCAGGATAGGCTTGGCCCCAAAAGAGCTGGCTACCCAGGCATCGACAAAGACGAGCTGTTCTGCTCTACATACCAACACAAGCATCGAAATAGAGCAGCATGCAAAATATGCAGTGCCTGTGGAGGTGGCACAGAATCAGTATGCAAAGAGGCGCGAGAACTAACTTGCCAACAGCTTGGATGCCAGAAGGGGCTGCTGGTCCCACGCAAACGATTACAGGAAGCATCAATGAGGGGTCGCCCTCCAGAAGCCAAAGTCCGCTTCGGTTTTGTTGGCTCTGGAGATACAGTCATGAAATCTGGCCAACATCGTGATGAAATTGCGACGCGACATAATCTTATCGCTTTGGAAATGGAGGCTTCGGGAGTTTGGGATAATTTGCCGTGCCTTGTCATCAAAGGCGTGTGCGATTATGCCGATAGCCATAAGAATAAATATTGGCAAAACTATGCTGCTGCTACAGCTGCAGCCTGCATGAAGGCTGTATTGGAGGAATATGTGGTATGATAGTAGATGGACTTTGCTCAACTTATACATAATTGGTGGTGGTTTTGGCGCCTGTCCCAGTGCTACTTCGCATCGCACGTTCCGATCGTGCTGCTTCGAGCATCCTACCCCGTCTCACTAGGTAGTAGAATTATATAAGTACATACCAGTCATAAATTACACAAGGGCATGCTTGTATCTACGACCCAAGTTCAAGTTTCAAGCTGTTATCCATGAACACTTGCCACGCATTGCACACACTGGCCCTACTGTATATGCTACACCTCTAAGAACGAAATAGTCTATAATAATCATTCAATTTATAGATTTATAGAACATAACAAAATCTACAGACCCTTCGCCTGCTTAGCCTCAACAAGCGCCTCCTTCAGCGCACCCAGAGCATTATCAATATCCTTACGGTTAGGATCAGAGATACTAACACCCATGTGACCGAAACGGATATACTTAGTAGCAATCTCCTTGTGCAGACCAGCTGCAAAGATAACGCCACGCTTCAGCAGACCAGGCAAGACATCGGGAGGAGCCAGACCATCAGGAAGATACATGGCCGTCATACCATGAGCCTGAGCATCCGGGTTAGGAGCAAGCTGCTTAAGACCGAGCTCAGCAATCGCAGCCTTAACCTTATCCGAAGCCTTGGTGTGAATAGCGAACGTCTCGGGCATACCACGAGCAGTGATCTGGCTAAGGGAAGTGTGCAGAGCATGCACGAGCTGTGTGGGAGGAGTAGCGAAGTAACTCGGCTTGTTGTTCTCATAGTTCTGCATAATTGGCAGCCACTTCTCGATACTGGCGTAGTATGTTGCTGCGGGGGTCTTGCGGGATTGAGCGGCTTGGATCGCGCGGCCGGAGACCATTACGATGCTCAGACCTGGTGGACATCCGATTGCCTTCTGGGATGCGGTGACGACGGCATCAAGGTCCCACTGGTCGAAGGCGATTTCCTCGGATCCGACACTGCAGACGCCGTCGACGACGACGAGGGTGTTGGGGCTGACGCGGCGGGTGATTTCGGCCACGCGCTTGATGTCATTGAGCACGCCGGTCGAGGTGTCGACGTGGGTGATTGTGATGACCTTGTAGGGCTTGGACTGGAGGGCTTTCTCGACTTCTTCGAAGGCGGGGCGCTCGCCGATCGGGCAGCGGAGGTGGTCGACGTTGGCGCCGTAGGTGGTGAGGCAGGTACCGAAGGCGTCGCCGAAGTAGCCGGTGTTTAGGACGAGGGCGTTCTCGCCGCGCTCGACGAGGTTGGCGGAAACGAGGTCCCAGCCGAGGGTGCCGCTGCCGGCGATGATAAAGGGCTGTGCGGCAGGGTTGGTGGACTGGAAGAGCTTGCGGGTGAGGGAGATGGTCTCGCCGAAGACCTTGACGAAGCCGGGAGCGACGTGGCTCTCACTGGAGGGGTCAATTGATGTTAGTGGGGGGAGGTTATGGGAATGGAGGGGTAGGGGGGGTTTGAACTCACGCATAGTGGGACATGGACTGGAGGACAGCATCATCGAACTCGATGGGGCCCGGGATGAGCAGAGTGTTGTGAGGGGCTTGAGTAGACATGTTGGATTGGGTGGGTTGGGGCTCGGGGGGAGGTGAAGGAGGAATGGAACGGTCGACGGGTTTATATTCAACGTCGTCAGGAGCGAGAGAGTTTCTTTTGGTCGAGAAGGGAGTGTTCAGTTCAGGCAACGGGAGACGCTGGTCCAGGTGTCTGGAGATCAGGCTCAATCGTTGCTGGGTGGACTTGGTCGACATCCGATTGCGGCGGGGTGTGCCGCGGGGTAATTGGTTGGATTGGCTGAGTTGATTGGATTGCGTAGTACCTTGGGCGATTTGCTTGTGAATTCCCGAGGAAAACTTGGTGGTGCTGGTACACTGGGACTGCTGGCACTGCTGGAGTATCGGGGATCGCCGCCGAGTCACCCGGGGAGTCTGGCGAGAGAGGAGAGGGGATTGGTTGCGTCGGAGGACAGCCGAAGTATACCACTCGGAAGGGCTTGCGAAGGACAGTGGAGTGGAGTGCAATGGAAGAGGAGAAGGAGGCTATTTATTGCAGAAGGGAGGAGCTGAATCTCAGAGGAAATTTCCCACCCGTCGGTGAATGACGGCCGGGGCCGATGGGGGAGGAGAGAAGGGGGAGAGGAATGAACTACCATTTTGAGCGGGAAGAGTAGGAATTCGGAATCTATTCTATATTCTATGTGAAGATTGTATACTACCTGGAATGTAGTATGTAAAATGTATACTAGTATGCTACACAGTATACACAGTTGTGCTGTGACTACGGGAGGCCATCCGATATCCTACTATGCAGGGTATACCCTATACTCCAGGGTGGAGATATAGTATGGAACAGAGTATAGATGGCCATATAGTCAGACATTTACAGATGAATATTAGAAAGCAGAGTATATCACAATAATTATATGATATTTTACTAACCTAGAATATACAATGCATCACTATAGACTACAATGGTAGAGGATAGCATTCACACCCATACTCTGTTCCATACTATACCACTACTACTACGACCAGTCCACACTCTCCGCTGTACTCGCCATTCTAGAGATCCAAGCACTCGGAGAGCTCCGCAGAGAACCCAATTCCCCCAGATCTCGATTGGCCAACCCGACCCGAATTCTTGCCAGTCGGACGAGAAGAGTGTTCGGGGCGATGAACCAACCAGATGGACTCCGCGCTAATCCCGACTCCGCAAACCCGCCATTCTCCATTCTCCATCCCCTCTTAGCTGCTTCTAGCTTGTCCTAGAGCTCCTCCCTCCAATTCCAGCCATGACCGCCCGTCTTGTCCTGGTCATCGGTGACCTATTCATTCCCGACCGTGCTCCTGTGAGTTTGGATCTACTCCTCCACGTCTTCTCAGGCCTGTCCCTCACTGCGTTGTCCCGCTAACCACCGCCCCAGGACCTCCCACCCAAGGTATACCTCACCCGCCCTCACCGAACCCTATATCTAGACCTTGCAATTGACCCCTCACCACCTTCTGATAGTTTCGGAAACTCCTCTCCCCGGAAAGATCGGCCAGATCCTATGTCTGGGCAACTGCACCGACCGCGAGACCTATGAGTACCTCCGCGGGGTCGCCCCGGACCTGCAAATGGTCAAGGGCGACTTTGACGTTGACTCACCCAACCTCCCCATCTCTAAGATCGTTGAACATGGGAACCTGCGCATCGGATTTACCCATGGACACACCATCGTCCCGAATGGCGATGCCGACGCCCTCTTGATTGCTGCCCGCCAAATGGATGTCGACATATTGCTCTGGGGCGGCACCCATCGCTTCGAGGCATTCGAGATGGAGGGTCACTTCTTTATCAACCCGGGAAGTGCCACCGGTGCTCTGAGCTCGGGATTCTGGCCAGAGGGCGAAGAGCCGACGCCGAGCTTCTGCTTGATGGATGTGAGTCGATGCAATACAAATGGGATAAGATATACGTGGATGCTAATACGGTGACTGTGACAGATCCAAGGCGATGTCCTTGTTCTCTACGTCTACCAGCTCAAGACCGACCCCAACGGTATCGAAAATGTGTCTGTGGAGAAGGTTTCTTTCCGTAAGAACCGCGCGCCAGATGCTGCAACGGCAACAACGACGGCGGCGGCGGCACCGGCACCAGCAGCAGCAGCAGCAGCAGCAGCAACAACTGCTGACTCGTGAGCTTGCCCCAGGGTGGACGACCCTGATTATTCGTTCGACCTATCAACACTATATGATTCACCCTGTACATAGTCTCTCTGTTCCCGCATACTGTACGCCGTACTGTCTGGCCTTTTTGATATCTGCTTGCAATGGAATGATACCTATTCTTAGAACGAGTGTAGCCAACTACTCGATCGGAAGATGCTCTGCCCAAACTCATTTAAACCTTTCCTCGATCAAATATTATATTCTGCAATAAATTGAACACATGTCCTCCTCATCCCCCATACAAATATACCTGGGCACGCTTGATCACATCGCAGCCTGGATTACCGGATCAGGACTAGCGTCTGGAGCCAAAGCCAGCGCGCCTCATCCGCCCCGCATGGAAAGATCTCCCATGGACCTTCACGTCCACAATTCTTTGACGACCGTTCTTTCAGGGCCTTTCAATCGCCCATATCGTTCCAGTTCTTCTTAATTCCATTCTAGCACGATATCCCCCCACCCTCTCTCCCTCCTCCCTTGTCGCCTTATACCTCCCTCCCAGCCGCCCTATTCTTGCCGCTGCCCGACAACCCGAATTATCAATCGAGCCCGTTTTCATTTTCTTCACAACATCCCACATAATGTCCGCCGAAGGAGCAGAGATCAAGGAGGAGCAGCTTCCTCCCCAGGAAGAGGGGGTTGATGACGAGGTTCGTGTGATCAAAGATATTTCCTCTCCAGCAATCGCGCCTCGACTCCGTGCGACAAGGTGATCCCGCAAGAGGTAGCTTTGGAGTAGTCGAGCTTTGGCTGGGCCAAGCCAAGCGAGCGACCACCACGACCAATTCAACGCACAGCAATGCAAAGCAAAGCAAAATAAAACAGGATGAACACCGGCTAATGCGGATATCCAATTCCTCAGGAAGAAATCGCCGCGATGAAGCGCCGGGTCGCCGAGATGGAGTCCGAAGCCGCAAAGCTGAAAGAAATGCAACAATCCCTCGATGCGGAGGCCGAAGGTCTCCAAGAGAACAAGGAAGATATCGATGCCCGGAGCGTCTTTGTCGGTAATGTGGACTATGGCGCGTCACCGGAGGAGATCCAGTCGCATTTCCAGAGCTGTGGCTCCATCAATCGAGTCACTATTCTGCTGGATAAGTTCAGTGGTCAGCCGAAGGGGTGAGTTTAGCATGCACTTGCACTTGCACAGCACAGCACAGCACAGCGTGGAAGGTGGAATAGGTGGAACAATGCTGATCGGTTCTATCTATCTGATTATTAGATACGCCTACGTGGAATTCTCCGAGCCGAGTCTCGTGGCTAATGCGCTGGTTTTGAACGAGAGTGTCTTCCGTGGTCGCAACTTGAAGGTATGTTTCCCTTGTCCCTTCACCATTTTGTTTGTGCTCTGGACTGGACTAATCGCAGTCTCCTTCTCCCCTCTTATAGGTCACTCCTAAGCGTACCAACCTGCCTGGTATGACTCGCGGTCGTGGACGAGGTGCATTCCGTGGTGGACGTGGGCGAGGCCGTGGCACCTACCGCGGTGGTGGCTTTCGGGGACGCGGTCGTGGCTATGCTCCCTACTAAAGAGGATGAGAGTTCGCCGGCATCCGATGAACCCGATGAACCCGGTGTTCATCATCAATTTGTGTCCTCTGTTTCTCTCTCTCGTGGGATTCTGGCTATGGAGTTAAGAGACTAGGCTAGGCTAGGCTATAGGAAATGTACAATAACGAGTCTTTGCTGGGCTCGATGTGTAATCATGGAATGACTACAAGAGGGCAGAACCATCTAAAGTAAGCAGGTTAGTTGCAGTATCTATTTCGCTGCCTAGTAGCTAGTACTTAGTACCCAGTAACTAGCCTGTAAGTATCTAGTCCTATTATTATCAAGGCTCGCCACTGGCCATCCCGCCCGCACCCGCACTCCGACTTGACCTTGCCCAGTATTACGTACGCCAGATCAGCGAACAGAGGTTTCCAACCGGGCGCAGTGTGGCTGAGGTGGTTATTGTATTAGAAGTCAAGACTAACAGTGAAAAAGACCGGATTGAATCCATCTTGGCTGTGTCTAGTCTTGAGTGTCTTGTGTAGTTGAGCAGTGCAGTTCTCCCCACCACCACCACGCCCAGCCCAGCCCAGCCCGGCCCTTCCATTCTCCTTCTCCTCCTTCTCCTCCTTCAACCTTCAACCTCCCAATTCGAAACCTCCCCTCCTCCACTCATCACGCCCACCACGTCATTTCTGAGATTGGTCGTTATCCCTCCTTTCTTGTGCATGCGCTTTCCTGTCTCGCATCGGGCTTGATTGATCAGTCCTTTCGCTTTTAACGTGCTTGTCAACTCATTCAGGGCATCATGGCATCCAACCTGCCAGCGTACGTCTTTCACTTCGTTTCCCCTCCCTTTCCCTTCCCTCCGCATTTCTTTTTTCGCTGGCTGACATCCTTTCGCAACTTCTAGCCAGCCCAACCTTCGGGTCACGAGTAAGACTGCCTTTTTCCTCTTGGGAGCCCGGCGCCCTGCATCAGGCGGGACGCTGCGGGGTCCGCCTTCGATATCAGACTGACTAAATGATAATAGTTATCGCGGCCGACGGTCTCTACAAACGTGATGTCTTTCGTATGTTCTTTCCATGTCGATTACCCTGTGGCGATCTTTCCATCATCCATTCGAGACGATGCTCGGTCGAGCGTGGATGATCATCAGCGGCGGGGGGCTGACCAACAACTTTCACCATTAGGATTTCCCGACCCATTCGCTGTGGCCACTGTCGGAGGCGAGCAAACTCACACCACCTCGGTGATCAAAAAGACCTTGAATCCATACTGGAATGAACCCTTTGATCTGTACGTCGCAGCCCCCACTTTTTACCGCGAGCTTTGGTCTCGGCGTGGTGGTGATTCCGGATGGGACATATGTGGTGTTAACCGGTGGTCTTTTATCGAAACAGGAAAGTCAACGAAGACAGTATTCTCGCGATTCAAATTTTCGACCAAAAGAAGTTCAAGAAGAAGGATCAGGGTTTCCTCGGCGTCATCAACGTACGGATCGGCGATGTGATCGATCTACAGATGGGTGGTGATGGTATGACGCGATCGAGTCGTGACGAAAACTCGTCAAGGAACACTCTGTGCTAACTTCCGCCTCCCTTCTAGAAATGCTCACTCGCGACCTGAAAAAGTCCAATGATAACCTCGTCGTCCACGGCAAGCTGATCATTAACCTGTCAACTAACCTCGACGCACCCCACCCCAACCAGCAGAATGGGCTTCGACCTCAACATGCTCAATCTTCCACATCCAGTGGTCTTGTCCCACAAATCGCAGCACCCTCGTCGCAATCTCAGGCTAGTCCTAGCCATCTCGACAATTCTCCTGCTCCCGCCGCATCAAGTTCTTCGCTCAACAACCGCGCGTCGACCAGTGGGCCCCTCTCCACCCGCCAATGGAGCCGCTCCGCCCGGTGTCGGTGCCGCATCGCGTGCAAATCTGAGTTCATTCGAGGATAGTCAGGGTCGACTCCCCGCGGGCTGGGAGCGAAGGGAGGATAATCTGGGACGGACATACTACGTCGACCACAACACGCGAACTACCACCTGGTCACGACCATCCGCCAACTATAATGAGCAGAGCTCCCGCAATGAGCGCGCCGCCAACATGCAACTGGAGCGTCGCGCCCACCAGAGCCGAATGCTACCGGAGGATCGCACCGGCGCCAATTCGCCCAATTTGCCGGAAGGCCAAAGCACGCCGCCGCCAGGTGCTCCTCCTCCTGCTGCACCGGCCGCCGGGGGTTCAGCCCCTGGATCTCACGCCAATGCCGTTTCCATGATGGCGACGGGAGCCACCACTGCAGGCACTGGAGAGCTCCCGCCAGGATGGGAGCAACGATCCACGCCCGAGGGCCGCGCATACTTCGTGGACCACAATACCCGCACTACGACCTGGGTCGATCCTCGTCGGCAGCAGTACATCCGCATGTACGGTCAGAACCAGAACCAAGGAGGAAACAACACCACCATTCAACAGCAGCCCGTCTCTCAACTGGGACCTCTACCCAGTGGTTGGGAAATGCGTCTCACGAATACGGCTCGAGTGTACTTTGTCGACCACAACACCAAGACTACAACTTGGGACGATCCCAGATTGCCCTCCTCTTTGGATCAGGGTGTTCCTCAGTACAAGCGTGACTTCCGCCGCAAGCTGATCTACTTCCGATCCCAGCCTGCTTTGCGAATCATGTCTGGTCAATGCCATGTTAAGGTTCGCCGTAATAATATCTTCGAAGACTCTTACGCCGAGATCATGCGCCAGAGTGCTTCCGACCTGAAGAAGCGTTTGATGATTAAATTCGATGGGGAAGACGGTCTGGATTATGGTGGTCTTTCTCGGTATGCCCTCCTATTACCCTCCCCCCTGAAGCTTTGCTTTCGCTGGACCTCGCTAACCTTTTCAGTGAATTCTTTTTCCTTCTCTCTCACGAAATGTTCAACCCCTTCTACTGCCTTTTCGAATACTCCGCCCACGATAATTATACCCTGCAGATTAATCCTCACTCTGGCGTCAACCCCGAGCATCTCAATTACTTCAAGTTCATCGGCCGTGTTGTCGGTCTGGCGATCTTCCATCGTCGCTTCTTGGATTCCTTCTTCATTGGTGCTTTCTATAAGATGATGCTGAGGAAGAAGGTGACTCTTCAAGATATGGAGGGTGTGGACGAAGATTTACATCGAAACCTGGCGTGGACCTTGTAGGTTTTCCTTTCCTGAGAAAGCGATGATACCCAATACTAATCTCCGACAGGGACAATGACATCGAAGGGATCGTTGAACTTACCTTCTCTGTCGACGATGAGAAGTTTGGCGAGCGTCGCACTATTGATTTGATACCCGGTGGAGAGGAGATTAACGTCACCAACGAGAACAAGCCGCAGTACATTGAGTGAGTTGTTCACAGTTCCTGGATAATTGGAGTATTAACTAATAAATTTTCAGATTGGTTACGGAATGGAAGATTGTCAAGCGCGTGGAGGAGCAATTCAACGCATTCATGTCTGGTTTCAATGAGCTGATCCCCGCGGATCTGGTCAACGTCTTCGACGAGCGTGAACTGGAACTGCTGATTGGCGGTATCGCCGATATCGACGTGGACGACTGGAAGAAGCACACCGATTACCGCGGTTACCAGGAGCAGGACGAGGTTATTCAGAACTTCTGGAAGATCGTCCGCACTTGGGACGCGGAGCAAAAGTCGCGTCTGCTGCAGTTCACCACTGGTACCTCGCGTATTCCCGTCAACGGTTTCAAGGACTTGCAAGGTTCGGACGGTCCCAGACGATTCACTATTGAGAAGTCAGGAGATCCTGCCGCTTTGCCCAAGTCGCACACCTGCTTCAACCGTCTTGACCTACCGCCCTACAAGACCCATGACGCCCTGGAGCACAAGATGTCCATTGCAGTGGAGGAGACCCTTGGATTTGGACAGGAATAGAGAAAGCTTGGCTACCTACACCTGCTATAAATGCCCACTCCAACCAAATCAGATCAGATTATCTCCCTACAGCTCCAGCTCCATACCCCCAACCCGTTGTTTTCCTTTTTCAAATCCATCATCTTATTTTTTTCTCTTCTCTCTTCTTCTAAGGTTGCTCTCGACCTAGGATACGATACCGCTTGTCGATCTGCGCATCTCATCTTCCTCACTCACAAACACGCCTACATACCAATATCTCTCATTTTACTCCATACCCCGGAACAAATGACTTCGTATTCTTCTTGCCGATTCTGCAGCTTTGGTTGCTTCGTGAATCTGGGAGGTGCATATGAGGGTAATTCCTTGTTCTTGCCAATCGTTGCTTTATTTTCCACGCGCCACTTGACCTGGTTTATTCAATCGGATTGGGATCGGGGGATTCGATTGGGATCGTGTGTACGACCTTAGATCTCGATCGACAATCACCGAGGAGATGGGGCTGGGGTTTTGTATGGTGGTTCATCGAAGCTGCACATGCCAAACGCCAATCTCATTACCGCAGTTTTAAGGTAACCGAATTCCGATACCAATCCCGATTCCGACTCTTATCAAGTATGGTCAAACGTGATGCCTGTCTGTTCTTTGTCTCTGGTCTCGATTTTCTGGCGGCGCTTTTGTATATAGGTTTCTTTTTTCTTTCCTTCCTCTGTCTCTCTGTAACATCGTGAGCATGAAATGTATTCTCGTCTTGGCGGGTCTTTGGTCTTGAGTGTTTTTCTCGTAGTGGTACTGGTACTTTGTTTCCAATTAGGTTCAGGTTTCCTAGGCTAAATCGTACTCTGTTGAGTACAAGGTACTTGACACATCCCGCCAGGTGTTGGAACTCGAGGTGTTCTAGAGGGTTGATGCAGTACTAGATTCTTACTAGTAATTCTTGCATTTAGCCCCCAAATACTAGTGGAACATGCACAATCCACGAATAACGCCTAAGTCTACCTTGCGTTCGCACTTCCGCTCGCACTGACATTAGCACTCTTGCCTTGGCGCTGCACTTTCAGCCTTGCCAACTCATCCACCCGGTCCGAGTCCATCTCGGCGCCGGCGACGGGGACCCTGGAAGAAGGATCAGGTCAGATCAGAGCAGGCCGGCCTTGGCAAGCACGTTATTTACTAGTATTGCAGCTGAGATGCGGTGAATAGATGTCCGTCTTGACGTGGACGGAGAAGGGGTTTGTCTTATTAGTAGTCGCGGTCCGATCCGGAAGGTTGCTTTAACCTATCCGAATCAGTGACTTGTCTCGATTTTTTGGCATCGACATAGCGCATGCTTCGAATAACTACTGTCCAGTCCTTAGCTAGACCTACAAGTTAGTTGGTTCGAACAGATTGCAAGGTTATAAAGTGTTGAGGTCTCGGAAATGGATGAGCGATGAAAACTTGAATTTATCCAAATAAAAAACAACTACAATGCCCATTACAGTCGATAGCGAGAACAATTTCTACCCTGATAATTGCTTTTCTTTTCTCGCTCCACCGCCAAGGGGCATTGACTCTAGAATTGTTACAAAAATAGATACAGCTTACAAGTATGACGATACAAATATTGTATAATACAAAGTTCTTACAAAATAACTGTGTTCCTATCAGAGCCTTGTAAGAATCCAAGTATTAGTGCCATAGTTAGACAGAAATGGTTATTCAATAGGCAGAAATATCTTTTAATAATGATGCGAAGGAATCTCTTTATATCAGTTATTTACAAACAATAATTTCAGTATACATGTCCAGCAAGACATAACGGTATGTAGAAAATAGCAAGTCATTGAGCTAATTCATTCCTTTACAGCGACAGCTACTTGAGCTACAAATTATATCACGAGATTAAAGATCTCCTAAAAGAGAGAGAAGGATGCAGACCGACTAGGAGCCAGGTGTGCTGGACGATTTCCACAATCTTATTCTATTCTCCGACAGACGTTGAAATGCTCTCCACCTGGAGCGTTGGCCTCGGTTCCTTTCTCGATCAGCAACTGGACGATCTTATCATGTCCTGCGAAAGACTGTGAGCGTAGTGGACCGTTCAACAATACATCCAGTGACGGTGTATAAGTCAGATTCCTGATTTCCTATGTCAAAACAGTAATCACGCAAAGGGTGCATTAATCGGTGGTATCACACCTGTTATAGTGCTTTCTAACCCAGAGCATTCAGACCTCAATTTCATGCTGTCCATAGCTTCGGTACACTAAAGTAAGAGAATCCTTCGCCGGCCACATAACCAGAAAGCTTTGTCCATGACTCAACATTAAAACGCCTTACAGCGTAATGACTTAGTTCAACCGTCTTTACTGAATCACCAGACGTGTCCGCTCAGAGTAATTAGTGTGCATTCCCAGCTCTAGTTCAGTTAACTAACTCACTAACTCATTACAGATGCGATGACAAACGGGGTTTAATTGCTGTCTGCCCCATTTCGGCGGGTTCAACCTTATAAGCTCTCGCCCCGTAGATCGACAGTTGGACCGACTAATCAATCACATTTATTGCAGGCTACGATGGTCGAACGACTACTAGTAGAATCAATTCAGTGCGTCAATAAAGACCGACTGAACCCAGCTGTCCTCAATGGTCCATGCTCATCTTTCTTCCATGGGAATTTATTTGGCTGATCCCAAGTCAAGTTAGTTAACTAATCAGTCGGCTTGATTGTAATTTTGGCACCGCCACTACTACTTCCGTCAGATCAGACATTAGACCATTGCGTCGGGATGTTTATTCATATTTCCAGGTGGCGCAGCATTTAGTTTATGTCATCAGTCAAAACCTTATCTTTTTGATCCTTGGGCGCGTCGCCACCAATCACAACCTCCTGACTTTCCATGGCAGATTTGAGCGAGTATGGGTTGCTGTACTCGGCCTGAATGATAGTTAAGCATTCAGGGAATATCGGGAAAGAATGGCGACTATGGAAATAGAAAGCGGCGTACCTTAGAGGACGGCGGGCTCGAGATTTCCGCCTGGGCCAATCCCATTTCACTATAATAGAAATCTCCACTTTTCTCGACAGATCTCTATCGGTATGATGAATAAACAGGCAAAGGCTGATTAACTTTCGACCCAACACCTAACTGACTATTGGTTCGCGGTCAAAGTTTAAGGTAAATTGATCGACAAGGAATTTTCAACAACAGCTTAAAGATACTCAATTACGAGTGTGGAGAGGCATAAGTATAAAAGACGCCGTGCACCCAATATCATCTACTTCCCTGTGTAGTCAACAGTTTCTGACCACTCTGTACCATTCCTATCTTCTACCCTGTTTATCACCCTCACGCCAGAGCGACCTCACTCCAACTTCCCCCGCACTCCATCACCACCCCACAGCCATGACGACACCTACCAACATTGATCCCAAGGATATTCGAGCACACTGGGCTAGATATCAGGGCGACCAGTATGTTGAGGGCTGGGCCTCCCTCTGGGACAGTGATACTCTGCCCTGGGATCGTGGTTTCCCCAACCCCGCGTTAGAAGACACCTTGGTCCAGCGAGCTGGCACCATTGGCGAGCCCATCACCCAGGACGGCCAGAGACGGAAGGCTTTGGTGCCGGGCTGTGGACGCGGAGTCGATGTACTCTTACTGGCGAGCTTTGGGTATGATGCCTATGGCCTGGAAGTCAGCGCCACAGCTGTCGATGCATGCAAGAAGGAAGAGAAGGAGAACCATAGCTCGTACCGCGTGCGAGACGAAAAAGCCGGGAAAGGGACGGTCACTTTCGTCCAGGGAGATTTCTTTGATGATGCCTGGTTGAAGGAAATTGGAGTACCTCGAAATGGATTTGATGTTATTTATGATTACACGGTATGTATATTGGCCGCCGTTGTTGGGCTCCATTCCGTCATTGCTGTCATTTTCTCTCCACTTCCAAGGTTGTACTCTGCGTTCTACCGGGGAACTGCAAGGTGCTTCGCTCTCTGTCTTTGGACTTTTGATGTGCCATTTCCGACCCACCCCGGATCTTTCTGGTCATTCCTTCTAACAACCATATAGTTTTTCTGTGCCCTGGACCCAGAGCTCCGTCCTAAATGGGCTCTCCGACACACAGAGCTCCTTGCCCCCTCACCTGCAGGCAATCTGATCTGTCTGGAATCTCCTCGTCATAAGCCCCCCTTGGCCCCCGGCCCTCCATTTCCCTCCCCCTCCGAGGCCTACATGGAGCACCTGAGCCACCCTGGCGAGAAGATCTCCTACAACGATAAGGGCCTTGTCAATGCGGACCCGTTGCGAGAACCCAGCAAGGCGGGCCTGGAGAGAGTGGGGTACTGGCAGCCAGAGCGCACGCACGCTGTGGGCAAGGGTGAGAATGGGGTGATCCATGACCGAGTCTCTATTTGGCGTCGACGTGACTAATAACTTGAATGTGCCTGCGCATTTGTGTGACCCATTAAGGGAGAAAATGCAAATGGAAATATCGGTGTTTTTGGAGTCCGCCTCTGGATTTCAAGCCCAGATCTTAGACGCTGAAGTGAAAGTCGAAATGAAGGGACGGGATGCAAAGGGCGCTTTTTTTCAATAAGAAAAAACAAAAAAACAAAAAAGAGAAATCTTATATTAGAGGCCCCTATAACCTGGAAATCTGGGTCTTTTTCTCTATACAGAATATTATGATCGAAGAGTAAAAGTATTTCTATTGAGATCGAAGGAATAAGGATGTAATTATGCACTGGCAGGTGGTAAATATTATATTCTTAGTTTTTGTGTTGATGCTATTTATAAATGATTAATGCATGGAAGAGTCTTTTAACAGGCCTGCAGTCAGTAAGTTGAGGGCTGCGGGATGGGTCTTTAGTAGCTAATTATTCTAGGTATACCATGTGCTGTTATTGGGCAATATTGTGTTTAGTGTATGTAGATGTGCCTGATGTTAATTTAATATCGTAAATCTTGTATTTAATACAACACAGTACTATACACTGTAATTCTATTACTATTTCGTGGGTGATAGGGTTCAGGCTG